AATATTTACTGGAGTACCTAATAATGATCCAGAAGCCTATTATACTTGCTGTGATTCCTTACTATTGTCACGTTCACCTAAAACATTGCTTTAAAACTGTCTGAAAAACAAAATCGTATATTAAATATTATCTAGGCTCTTATGTTTCAAATTTTCATACATTCTTTTATGTTTTTCTGACACAAATTGCTCTATGAATGAATTTGGAAGTAACAAATGTAAACCTGTCATTTAATCTTTATTTAGTATGCTTTAATATATTAAAAAGTGTAAGAAAACATCAAAATTTATAACATTAAAAGTAGTAACATGAGCAAGAGTCAGTGGTGGTGAGAAGATTCAGAAATCAGAAGAGCTCTAAGTCCTTCTTTGGGTGAAGATCAGAAAACCAGCCTGGTTCCAGACAGCCAATGTGTGGGTTTGCCCAAATGCCCATCTCTTGGGAAAGACCAGACTGCTGAGCCTACCCTAAATGTCTGAAGATGCCTTCGGTCTCTCAAAGACCAGTGCTGTAGCCTACTGCATGAGTGACACAATTTTTATTTTTTTTTTTTTAACTCTGCCACAGGCTTTCTGTGCGACAGCTGAATCCGTGGTACTTATCTGACCAGAAGCATTTGTTTCTTTCTGTTTTTTAACCCCTCACTCTTTCTCCACCCAGGTGACTGGCTGCTGGAGCCATCCCCAGCCCAACATCCATTTCCATGGCCTGTTGATCTGAAGTGGGCTGAGCCAATGCGGCGTGGCAGAGGAAAACCTGAAAAGCCATGAAAGGCCGGAATGATATTAAGTATGACTCATTTTGGTGTTTTGTCTCCTTTCACTTGTGCAGGTCCCAGAGTCAGAAAGGACCACGTACTCCAGGTTTAAGAGCTCCATTAAGAGGAAGCTGGCGGCCAGAGCGCCAGTGGCCAGCAGCCCTATTGTCACAAGATGGCAGCAGCTGCACGCGAGAGGCGGTGTAGCAGAGCCGCGCAGGGAGCACTGCATGGCCGATCTTTGTGCCTCCGGAGGGACCCCGCTCATCAGCACGCGAGGTCAGACAGGATGCAAAGGAACATTTTCGTACAGAGGATGGCCTCATGCAGGGAATTCTGAAATAACCCGGAACAGGGAATTAGTGTAAGGTGTGGTTTGGTGTTCCCACATGTCCCATTGTCAGGGCCTCTGGGTATGGCAGTGTGCAGCAGCAGCAGTCTGTGCAGACGTTCACAGGCAGAGCAAGCTCAGGGCCAGCGTCCTCTCTGCAGGAGTGTGCTGCTGTTGTGAGATGAAAGCTGCGCTTGAGGTTCCTATTACCAGTGCGCAGACGGCCTAAGACAGTGGGTCATACAGGCAGCTGACATCAAGGTGGGCTGAAAGGAAAGAGAGAGTCTCATCCCTAGTCAAGCAATGCCTGTTGCAGACCAATCTTTTTTCCTCTATGACGGAGGCTGTGTTGGAGTGGGTTTAAATTGCACTGTGTTAAAGAAATCTCTTTACCCTAGGTCTCCAGCAGCAGAGTCTCAGACTTCTGATCTTAGAAAAATAATTAATTTATTTGGATGATACAGCAAAATGACAACTTGAGCTGGGTGCCTCTGGAGAGGGACTCCAAAACAAAGAAAACCTGGGTTTTTAAACCCTTACAATTTATGCGCTCCCTCTCCGTGCACCCTTCACGTGCCTTTCGGTCCAATGGTCAGTCTCTTCACGCGCAGTCCACACGCCTCTTGGTCCTATGGTAATTCGTGGTCTGGGGGCTCAACTGTTTCTCTGACAGGCCATTTGTTGTCCTTATCTCGATGGTTTGCTGCTTCTGCTGACAAAGTGTCCTCCTTATCTTCTTTCAGACCTCCCTGTAGCCAAGCAACCAGGTCAGGATGAGTTTATGATATGTGACCTGCAATTCCTTTTCCTGCTAACTAATACTAAGTGAAGTTATTCAGACAAAAGAATATATTTAGAAGAATAGAGTATAACTAAAATGTTGGGTCGGCTAAACTTATTCTGTAACAACTGGCCTGTAACAGCACACAGGGTTTGTTGCTGCACCTTCATATCTGGAATAGTTAACAATAACTACAGGAGAGCAGGAGAATTCATACAGGCCTCTTCCTTCCCTTCCTTCTGTTTCTCCTTTGCCTTACACACAGCTACCACAGACCCCACTATAACTGCAGAACTTGGACCAGTCTGCATGCATGGATGCAGTGTTGTGTACTGTCACTGAAGGAGAAGCTTGCCCTGTGTTATTGTCTCTCCTCAAATGCATAAGGCTTCAGGCATTGACAAAGGGGCAGCGCACAAGGGACACTCACACTTAACTCAGCTTAGGGAGAGACTTATCTGAGGGCCATTCAGAGCACAGATCAAACTTACAGTAGTCTAACTTGGTCTGGAGAAGAGCTAACTCTAGGGGAGGCTGTTTCTTTACGTCAACAACAGAGGGAGCTGATGAAAGGTTAAACGAACCTTTGAACTCACTGACTTACTTCCAGCAGGGCTAAGGGAAGGTGGGGAAAGGTTTACATGCTGCATGTACAAGAAGAGCTTCCTGGTAGATATAGGGAACTAAACACGGCTCATTTCTTGGTTAATAATTGAAATCTTCAGAGAGCAAATAAAAGATGCTGTTTGTTGTTCAGGATGTGTTCCTATGATGCCATGCCTGTTGGTCAGAAAGTGCAGTTCTATCTTCTTCTAAGCAAAATACCACAACTGTTCAATAATACATGCCTAGCTCTAGGATACTCAGGTTCTAAAACAATGTAAAGTCTTCCCTACTTCATTTTCTAGAACAGAAGGTCCTGCGTGCTGTCTGTGCTAGCAGTGGTGAAAGCCTGTATGGTTCTGAGAAATCAAATATTGATTTCCTCTGGGGTAGGATCCTCTGTAACCAGTCAATAAATCTAAGTCTGGATATGAGCTCCAGTATTAGTGGCACTGTTTATAAAGGAAATTATCAATCCGACCTTTTTTAGAGGTCTCTTTTAGGATAAGATGAATAATGCTGTAGAAATGTCTCTTTTCACTGAGAAAAGGAAAGCAGGATGATGGCTTCAAATGTCAGTATTTGCATTGTCCTACTTAGTGTGTCAGATCTGCTTTTAGAGTACTGCTACTACGAAATCAGTGCTATTCTGAAAAGTACTTGACAAATGTCCCTGTTTATGGTTTTTAAAGGAATTGTTTCCATTAAAATTGTTTTTCCAGTGACACCTCAGGTGCCTAAGAAACTCTCCAGCACAAAAACTATTGTGACTCTACTTAGCAGTCGTGCTGCAGCGAGTTTGGAAGGAAGGAATAACAGGAGAGCTGAAATGAAACAGAAACAGGTGAGTAATGAAATATTCAAATGCATAGTTAGGGCATTTGCTTTACTGACGTGTTTTTTTACCTTATCTTTGGCCTGGAATCTGTTATGCAGATACTACCTTATTGACATTGAGAACAGTAACATGAGGAGGTCCATTTAGGAAATGTCTGCTAGAGAAATGTCAGGAGCAATTGCTTCATCATTTATTTGACTCAGCTTCTCTCCCCTTCCTTCAGGCTACTGTCCAGCAAACTAAAATCAAAACCAAGATAATGAAGCCCTCAAGATGTATTTGTTACCTCTGAGGGAAAATGTATGTTGTAAAAAATATGCATGAAAAGCCTGAATGACTCAGTTTTCTGCTTCCTTTACTAGCCACTATGTGTGAAGAAGGTAATTTCTTCAGCTATGCAGGATGTAGCTGTTCATTTTGTCACGTAGACAGATGAGGTGTTATGAAAAATTTGCCAAAAAGTAGCTTTCTGAGAATAAAATTTTTTGTCATGACAATAGAAGGTTTGGCCAAGGATGAAAGAACAAATGGAATCTGCCTAACATGTGAAATGAAGACTTCAGATCACTTCCCATTTAGGTGTTACTTTCTATTGCTGTACATTTTATCCCTTCATTTTTCCTAGTGGACACTGACACACGAATTTTATTTTATTTTATTTTTTAGACACTATCTCCTGCTTTTTGGTCATCTTAAATAAACCGATGCTCCAGCCACCCACCTGTTTCTGTTCACTAACTTCTTGAAAAAATTGACTTCTCATGTGAAGTGTGGTGATATTTATCTGTATTAGTTAAAGTTACTACCATAACATTACACTCAAAACCACCTTACTGTTTTAGTGCTATCTAAATGTGACTGTTCATGTATTAAGTTGTAAACTTTTAGTCAGTGACCACGCTTTTTCTTGTGCCCTGCTTTCCTTGATTGCACCAGTTGCACGGTCAGTCTGAAGATGCTGATAGCTGTTTTCACATGTTTACTTTTGACTGTAACTGTTGAGTAAGTATACTTTGGAAATGCATACTCGATGTCCTTGCTCATAGTGTTTTATAATCCTTAATTAATATTGAGAAATTTCTGTGAGGATATCAAACTCAACTTCTAAGAAAAGGAGGTAGTGTCAGGACAGGTGGGCTAACAGGCTTGTTGACTGACATGTTGTAATAATTGTAGTCTTGAGAGGCATTGGATGTTGGAAAAAGACCATGCTTTTACATCATTCTGGGAAACCTAGTCCTCCAGGTAATGTAAACTTTAGTTTCTAAATAAGCAAAATAGTCTGGAAAATCCTCTTTCAACAACACTGCTTTCTTCATTCCCACACCCCTCCATGGTCTGACTGGAAAGTATGTGAATTTTAGAATTGTTAAAATACACAACTCAGTTGAATCCTTGAAGCCGCCTCTTCTCCAGGCTGAACAACCCCAACTCTCTCAGCCTGTTGTCATAGGACAGGTGCTCCAGCCCTCTGATCAGTTTTGTGGCCCTCCTCTGGACTCACTCCAACAGGTCCATGTCTTTCTTGTGCTGAGGACCCCAGAGCTGAAGGCAGTACTGCAGGGGGAGGTCTCACCAGAGTAGAGTAAATGGGGAGAATCACCTCCCTCGACCTGCTGGTCATGGTGCTTTTCATGCAGCTCAGGATACGGTTGTCCTTCTGGTCTGCAAGCGCACATTGCTGACTCATGTCCACCTTTTCACCCATCAGTGTCCCCAAGTCCTTCTCTAGAGTGCTGCTCTCAATCCCTTCATCCCCCAGCCTGTATTGATACCGGGGGTTGCCCCAGTCCATGTGCAGGACCTTGCACTTGGCCTTGTTGAACCTCATGAGGTTAACCTCATGAGGTTCACATGGGCCCACTTCTCGAGCTTGTCCAGATCCATCTGAATGGCATCCTGTCCCTCAGGCATGTAACACTCACTCAGCGTGATATCATCTGCACATTTGCTGAGAGGCATTTGATCCCATTGTCTATGTCATTGATGAAGATACTAAACAGTACTGGTCCCAATATGGACCATGTGTCAGTCTTCTATGTGTCAGTCTTTCATCCCTACAATGAAGTGACTTACCTGGAATTACACTGTAATTTACAAGCAGGAGTAGAGTTAAAACTAAGATATTCAGAGTTCTACATCAAGGACCACAACTGTCTCCTGAAAGTGTGATGTGGGGGTCTTTGAGATAGTACTGTGGGATGACCAAAACCTAAGTTCTTCCTAAAACCATTTGGAAGTCAGTCTTGGCTAAAACTGTATGAAAATCTATTAATCTTCTTAGATATAGTAATTAATGACTGTTTAATTTGTGCTGCCTGGTAGCATAAAGGGATGGAATGCATTGAAAAGAAAATCTTCTCACATTCCAGTGAACGTGTGTGGTCTCTTTATGAGCCAAAAGATTACTTCCATATATACACAGTTGGTTTTCCACAGAAATGTCTGCACTTATTTTAGAGGGACACAGATCCAAGTAATCTGATTAGCTTTTTGCCAAGTTGTCTATATAAATCATACTGAAAGTGCTTTTCAAAGCTGAAGGCCTGCTGTAGAACAGCTGGGATATATAAAGGAGGAACACTTCTTTTTCCAGATGTGTTTTTGTAAGACATTTCTTATGATTGCAACAGGGTTTAGAGGAAGAGTGATACTGAGTGTCCGTGGAAGGGTAGGTTTTACAGACATTGGAGGAAGAACATACTAATCTTGAGTGGCTGGTAAAAACAACAGCTGCATTTCTGTCTGACTGTAAATAAAGAATTACAGACCAAACAGACAACTGGCATCAGAGCATTCAACTCAGTGAACATTGTGAAGAAATGCATATTAATAGGGATTGGTGAAGAGATTCATATCCTGTATGAGCTGATCTGAGCCTTTGCGTGAATCCTGGCTAAAGGCCTAAGCTAATTTTTTTTTAAAAAAGAAAAAGTTCTGAGAACAATTCAGATCTCTCTTATCTTTGTCTACTGCATCATCTGTTTCTGTGACATTCAAGGAAATGATAACGTAATTTTAAAAGTCTTATTCGTCTGAGACACCTTATATATATTTTCAATTTCGTGTGATAATTCTAGTTTAAGGAGTGGGATCATGGAGTCCAGGCTCTGGGACCCTGGTTTGAGAGAGGACTCTGACATCCAGTAGGTCTCATGCTGGAATGAATGGCCCTGCAGTGTATGCACCACAAAACTGATCTTCCCTCATACAGCAAGCCTGAAGCATCAGACTTACTGTCTGCAGGCAGAGAACATGGCAGTATATGCTGGTAAAATTAGCCCAAATGGTGATTCAGAAGAGGACAAGAGGGCGCTAAGGTTTGGCACTAAGGTGACCTGTGGTAGTACCTACAGATGTACAGGCCTGGGACATCTTCCAGTCGTTCAAACAGCTTTGTTAAAGTTTGTGTGATCATTAGCAGTGAATTGGTGTTTTGTGGAAGGAAAGATGGTGGCTCAAGTTAGAGCACATGATTTGGACGCTGGTATTCTGTGTTTGTTACGGATCTCCTATTCAACAGACAAGGTGTTTTGAAGCTTTTATGTAATGAGTGTTGAGCCCTTTGATAGGAGTTATGTTATCCATGATGCTTAAATAAGTTTTTTGACAGATTTCTTAATTCAGTCATGTTTTCACTTCAATGTATTGGCAGAAATGTTCTTCTCAGCTTCCAGTGGTCCAGGAGGCTGGATATAGCATTGCAGAAAGTGATGACATGAAGGTCTGTGAAAATACCAATTGCATCTGGAAAGGTATGTTCTAATATAGCAAATGTTCTCATGCACACTGAACAGTAAGACACAGCAGGCTGCATCTACATTGGAGAAGCAAGTGCATCTACCTGTTCCAGCAAGTATTACAGGATAATATAAAGTGGCTGAGATCTATGCTGCTTGGGGCTATTTCTAGAGTTCCCACTGCCTGTGAAGAGATAGTATTCTACCTTTTCCAGTGTGGTTAACCCATAGGATTTTACTTGGCTCTCCTTTGGGCCATGTCTGATGCATTGGTGGCCCTAAAACATTAATTTCCTTTCAGCTTTTCAGTTTCAGAACCCTACAAATAAGGTAGGGTTGTGCTGCAGAATGGGCAAAGGATGTTTATCATACAGACTGTTGGGTACAGGAGAGTGCAAGGCATGCAAAGATGGTGGAGTCTTGTTGCTCTTACCAAGCTGGAGCAAACTGTCCCTAGCACTGCCTCTGGTTTCATCTGTGGGGCAGTTGATTAATTTGCTCCAAAAGATATCCTAGGAATGAATGAGCGTAAAGGAGTGTGAATGATCAGGCAACTGGAAGACAGGTGGGATGTGAAGAGTTAACCCGTGAAATAATACAAATATTCCCAGGGTTATTTGAGTATGAGGCAGTTCAATAAATATCAGACAAATGTTTCATTGTGTTCTGTCTTGGACAGATGATGTGTTTTGGTGATCTGGCTATTTCTGTGTATGATGGATACTTGCCAGTCAAGGCCTGATTCATGCTCATGTAAAATCAGTAAGAAACAGCTTCTTTATGAATCTGGAGTGCAGCTCCTGTAGAAGAAGTTGGGGGCTATGTGATAGATATGTATATTCCTTTGTTGCTCTTCTCTATGTAACTAAGACTCATTTCAGAGCAGTCAATAGCAACAGTATAGGGATTAGTCACAGCGTGGTGTTTTTCTTGATGGCAAATGAATACAGGTGTCAGGAATACTGGGTTTTATTCCACCCACCTATGTGTTGATCAAGTGGTCTGGTGTGACAGTACTGACTACTTACCACTTCCTGAGTCTCATTTTGAGAAGTAACACAGGCATGTGAAAGTTGAAATCCTATCAGAAGTCAGTGATACCCGCTCATAGTCAGGCAAAATAACACAAAATGGTGTAATGAAGCTTAATTTTCACTAATTAAAAAGCGTGTTATGCACATCCATTTATCTGTGAAGTAGGTGAATAGAGCTGAAAGTGTGATCAGTATGAATTTAGGGTAAATGAATTACTCATGAGAGAAGAGAAACCAGAAATGACTTACAGAGATGATTTCATCCTTTATATCTCACTGCTCAATACCAACTATTAATGTTAAGTAAGAACATTTTCAGAGTGTTTCAGAACTGTTGCCATTCATCCAACTGTTACAATTACATGCCTTAATTTTCCTGAATTATCTTACTTGGCTGGGTCAGAAATGTTTAGTAAAGTTTTCAAAAAATAACCAAAAATCTAAATATTAGAAGTACAGATATTTCTATACAGAGAAATCTCATTTTGGTAATATTTGACCTTTTTAGGGTTAGAATGCAGTGTTACATATCGCATTGGGCAGGTCTGAGAAGGTCATTCCTGCAAGCCTGCTTGATTGTTTAACTCCACAAAATTTTAGATAAGAGAAGAAAATCACTGTGGCCTGTTTCTTGCTCTTCTTTAGTCTTTCTTTGGAGAGAGAAAGAGTACCACAGGTAAGAGGGGAAACATTTGTTGTCTGGCAGAAAGTAATTTTGGATTAGGGGAGAAGACTCAGGACAGACTAGGGAAGGACTGTGTGAAATAAGTTTTCCACAATTTGTTGCTGGACTTCCATGTAGGATGTTTATGTGTGCATTTCAGTTACAGAGCACAAAAACTTTGTCAGTGCTGAATTTTTTTGAACAGAGAAGGTTAGTTGTAGAGGTAAGTAATGTCTTCTGCCCCTGACACTTTTGATACTCATTCTAAATACTCCTCTCTGGAGAATAATTCAAAAAGGTAGTCAAAACACAGAGAGAAGTGCAGAAATGTGAATCTCCAGCTTTCTGCTCTGCACATTACAGCAAGATAATTTCTTACACATAAAAATCTAGCATTAAATGATTCATAGTGCTAATGATCTGGCTTTTTTCTATGGTGTTTAGGAGTCCTTGCAGCATAATGTAGACAGTGACCACAAAGGATGACTCCTGTGCTTGCTCATACTTGTATTTGCTTTTGTTTCTCACTTATCTGTTGTCAGAAACTTAGTGTGCTGTGATCAAAATGTGTGTGCTTTGAAAACCTTTTCCTGTGGTTAGGTATTGATGGGGAGACCTTTTGGTGGGAAATTAACACCAGAAAGCAAAGGTTAATTGCTGTATGAGGGGGTTTTGAAGTGGGAGAGCACATATGAAACATTCCGCTACTAACAACTTTTGACAGAAAACTAAGGCAAAAAAAGCAAAACACCTCACATTCTGTATTGAGCTGTGGTACAATTTAAACAAAATATAGTGGACCCTATTCTCTGTTCTAGCTGGCTAAATCCATGGAGGTTTGAGAGAGGTGGTAAAAGGTGGCTTTCACGTAGCTTAGCGTGTCTAGTGTTTTGAGCCTACCCAGGATAAATTAGACCCTTCTGGCCTCCTCTGGAGAGACAAATATAGTGAGAATGTGAAAGGCTTAGGCCTGAGAAAAACTGGTGATGTTTTGCATTACTGATTTGTATGTGATGAATCTTCAAATACAGGATGCGGAGAGGAGATGCAGAATGAGTTTAGAGCTGTTACCATCATGAAGCCTTCCATACCTTTGGAGCCAGAAGTGAGGCTTCATATTACTGGCTTGCGCAATGATTACTGTAAGTTAATTTCTCCTGTGTGGTGTTTTTTGCAGAGATTAGGAGTTCTTATGTATGTTTCAAGAAAGATGGTGTAGGTGTGTCCCCTTCACATAAAATGGAAACTCTGCAGGACATATGCATGATGTCATTTTTCTTATAAGGATACATCTTTGAGAAGTGCCTGTTCCAGGATGGGGACATGACTGATCAAACCCTAGAATCAATGCTACCTAACTCTCATGCAGTTTCCTTCAGCTGTAGATCTCAATACAACTTTCAAATCGAACGAATATACTTACCTCTGCTTAATTAAGTTAAATGTTTCAGCTCTTAGCCTTGGATATCTAGCAGCCAGTCAACATAGCAGCAACCTTATTGAGCAGACTTTTAAATCTCTTGTTTTGGGAGATGTCAGTGATGTTGTTTATGGTTTGGATGACAGATACCTTCTGAACTAAATTCTCACTTATGTCTTTGGTGGTGCACAGGCAAAAATTAAACATGCAGAAATTACACATGAACACACATGGATCTCTGGTTTACAGCAGCAAATACATGTTTTAGCACTTCATAAGATCTAACGAACAGCTCTGTGTGTGCAGGTGGTTGTAATTGTCCATGTGGAGATTTTTTCAACATATTCTTGCAAGTGTTCATGTATATCTATAAACAGGACAAAGGTTTATTTATATGATTTGCACTGATTGATTGTGCATAAGGTATGTCCCAAGACTAACAGCATTAATAGAAGTCTTTGGAAGTGATTTCAGTCTTTCATGATTACAGGACTGTAGTCAAACAGCTGACTGATGGATTCAGCTGTTCTTCAGAGTGATTGTAGTTACCAAAATATGATGTCAGACTTTGGCCTGTGGTAACAATCTTCTGTGCTTCAGGAGTCAGGCAAAATGACTTTTAAGCTGCTCTAAAGGGACAGCTGAAGATTTTCCTTGATGTGGGAGAATGTCCTAGGTTGGTATTAAATGTTGTATACCAACTTCTTCTGACCTACCTGACATAGCAGGCTGTTCCGAGGCTGATCACTGTAGTGACTGTAGCGTATAGACTGTCTCCTATGTCTTTCTCAATAACAAGAATTACCTTGGAACAAGGGTGCTTTTGGAACTGTAGCTGTTGGTGGAGGAGCCTCATTTCTGGTAGCAGAAATTAGAGTGAGTGATGTGGCGATCCAAAATGCAGGGTGATAGATTAAAAAATTCCAGTGGGGAAGCTGTAAGTCAGAACCTGCTATGCAGACATACCCATTTGTAGAGATTAGACTTATGAAGACTGTGGCTTGTTAGAGATACTCTCGTTCATCTAGGAGGTAATGGTTTCAGAGAAGCAGTCTCTTCAAGTTTTTCCATAGCTAAAAAAAAAAAAGCCTCTGTCCCCCAAATGATACTCCCCTTCACCCCATCCTATTAACTACAACTGTTGTGCAGTAACTTTTAGTAGCTTTCTTCTAGATCTAAACATACTGGACTGGAGCCTTGAAAATCTCATTGCTGTTGCTGTAGGACCTGCTGCACACATCTGGAATGGAGGAACTCTTCAAGCCATTGAAAGCATTGATTTGAATTCCAGTTCCAAATACATTTCATCTCTGTCTTGGATAAAAGGAGGAACTTGCCTTGCAATTGGCACCAGTGATGGAGAAGTGCAAGTACTATATAATTTACTTTTTTTAGTCTTTCTCCATTTTTACCTAAAGTGACCACAAGATAACTTGATACTGATTTTTTTTTTTAAGGAAACAAATGAAAAAGATTGGCTAAACTACAGAACTCTGCTGGAGACAATATCTAGCACTTCCCTGTATCATGTTGCACTTTACTGAACGACTTAGTAACATCCGTGTTACCTATATGTAATGGAGCCTCTGAAGCTACTAAAAAGCTGATGACTGAATTAATGTTTCAGTTGTCCAGACACAATCAGATTTTTTTTCCGCCAGTGTGAGGAACTCTTTCATTGAATTATTTTACTCAGCACAGGCTATTTTTTCTTGTATCTCTCTTGCTAAGATCACTCTGGTGATCTATGCCTTGAGAACTCAATCCAAAACTCTCCTTATGGATTCACACATGAGAATTTTACCTCAGTCTGATTATACACGTACCTCTCAGCTTGCTGTTATAGGGCAGTCTTACTATCCAAAGATTTTTGTGGGACTTTGGCTGAGATGCTAGATAATATGGGGACCTACCTGCTGCAGTCCTGAGTCAGCAATCTGAAGGTACTGAAGGCCAATGCTTTCAAGTATGGACTTCCAAATACTGACATGTAAATAAATAGCATTAAACTCAGAGATTTGCATTACCTTCAATCCTGTCTGACTTCAGCATCACTGATACAGGTGTCAAAATTTGGAAATACTCCTTCTTATCTTACTTGTGAAATAAATGAACTTGAGGCTCTCCATATGTCAAATGAGAACCGGGCAGCGGCTTACTTGCAAACAAATGAACAGAGCAAAAATATTTTTTCTTTTTGTTGTTAAATTTGTATTTCTTATTTGTTTTGACTTGGCAGCTGTGGGACATTGAAACCAAAAAGAGGTTGAGAAATATGTTTGGTCACCTGTCTGTAGTTGGAGCTCTGAGCTGGAATCATTATATACTGAGCAGGTGAGTGGTATAGTATATTCCCAGAAAGAGTCCTGCTGCTTTTACTTAGACAAATGTCCCATTCATTTTAGCTATTTTCCTTGGCCTTGCTCAAAGGGGATTTATCCTGTCCCTCTACTTATCGGCCAGCTCAGAAATCTTATGTAGATTTACTATATGGCAGGAAAGCAGCCAAAGGGGATTTAGCCTGCCTCTTTAGTCTGTTTCTTACTCTCCTTCCAGAAAACTGTCACCACTTGCAGACTTTTACTGGGATGTAGAGGCTGTGGCTCTGGTTTTGTGCAAAGCCTGAGCCTGAAATGATGTCTCCACTGAGTCTGGACTCCAAAAATCATAGCCTGCCCGGTGCTGGGGAAAAGGCATGTAGTTTAGATTGCCCCTCCATTGATATTGAGACGACATCTGTCTTTTCAGGTGCACAGCGAAACACAGCTGTTAAAGATTTGCACACCTCTCTAGCTGTGTATCTACAAGGGAAGATAAGCCTGCTTATTGCTATCCACAACCCAAAGAGGACTGAAGTGGTTGAGCTTTGCTTTGCCAAGGGTGAATTTTATACTAGCTGGTGAATATTTTATATTTAGGGATCATTTAAATATGGGGACTCAGATGAGAAAGATCAAGTGTACTTTTTGTATTTTTTTTCCCTCCCACTTTCTGTTTCAGATCTTTGACTCTCACTTCAAGGGGCTGAAGGCAGACTTGTTTATGATGGATGCTTCTACAATTTTAAAATCATATGATAGTCTTCTGTTTTACTTAAACACAGAAATAATGGCAAGGGTAAACTGACTTGATTGTTAAACTCAAAATGAAACTAGTATGTCTGGATAGGAACACTAGAGGTAGTTTTATTTTGATTTCACAAGATGCTCTCACTTTTGATTGTATAAGGTCTGCTAGTGGAGTGAGGTACAAGGATACCAGCTCAACAACTAGTTAATAAAATGCTGTTGCTGGAGCAGGTATGCTGAGTGGGTTAAGTTACAAGGATGCAGCTGGAACATCCTGCCAATGCCAAGTGGCATAACCTTATTACAATAAGCATTAGTTTCAGTTTGCATTTCAGCTTGGCCGAAGGAGTGAAAACAACAGAAACTTAAATTACAGATCTCTTTGAATAGAAACTGATGATAAAATTCAGCATGAATCTGTGAACTACAGTTATGGTTGACAGATTAGGTTGAGATAACATTTATTTCTTTTGCTAGGTTTGAAACTAACTGGTTAATTCTAACATTAGGGCAGAGTGAAAATATCTGTATAAGTAGAAAAAAAGACATGGAGTTAATATTCATTGTTACTAAAATAAGAGCGGCATTCTTACAGTGGACAATTGATACTTTGGGATTACATACTAATTCCTGTGGTTAAAAATAGTCCAACACCACATCATCATGAACCTGTAAATAGACTTCAGTGCCATAAATTAACCTGTCACAAAATTTTGTTGGCTTCTCTTTGTCTTTAGGAAAACAGATGCCATCTTCTGTGTCAAAAGCAAATAATTCTGATTTCTTTTTATGCCAAGCGGTAAAGTGTCCTTTCAGCCAGGATTCTCAGGAGCCCAGTTCCTTCCCATTCATAGCACTAGAAATACTGAAAACCTTAATATGGCTAACACTGGCAATTCAGTTCTATTTCTCTTGGTGTGGTGGCTTGACGTTGGCTGTATGCCAGGTGCCCACCAAATTGGTCTATCACTTCCATGCTCAGCAGGATTGGGCAGGAGACGGGAGAAAATAAGGTAGAAAAAACCCTCATGGATCAAGATAAAGGCATTTTAGTAAAGCAAAAGTAAAGGCTGTGCACGGGAGCAAAGGAAGACAAAATATTTATTCTCTACTTCCCGTCAGCAGGCAATGTCCAGCCACTTCCTGGGAAGTAGGGCTTTGGTACGCATTGCGGTTGTTCTGAAGACAAACATGATAATAACAAATGCCCCCCTCCTCCCGCATCCCTTAGCTTTTATTGCTGAGCATCACGTCATAAGGTATGGAATGTCCCTTTGTTCAGTTTGGGTCAGTTTGTCCTGGCTATGTCCCCTCCCAAGATCTTGCCCACCACCAGCCTCCTTGGTGATGGGGGTATGTTGGAGACGCAGCCTTGATGCTGTATGAGCACTTCTCAGCAGCAGCCAAAACACTGGGGTGTTACCAACACCTTGCTAGCTACCAATACAAAGCACAGCACCATGAGGGCTGCAATGGGGAAAATTAACTCTGTCTCAGCCAGACCCAATACACTTGGTTAGATTTTCTGCTTATTATTTAGTAGGAAAAAATCTATGTAAATTTTCAGGATGCAAATTATGATGCCTTTGCATATGATATACATACTGCCATGTATTTTCAAAGGTATTTTCCATAAAGATGTGCTTAACATTCAGTGGAGCACTGCTTGGTTGGAATCTTTCATGCTTTTGTGAACTTCAAGAGCTTGGCAATTGCTTAATACAAGCACAACAGAATGACATTTCTTGCAATCAGTCAATTTTGTGTGTGTGTTTTTAGAGCATCCAAATCATTCAACTTGCATCTGAAAAACCTTTAAAAGCCAGTATGGGAAAGTCACCAGTTATTACTGCCTTAAATTAACCTATTGCACTAATGTCAGATAACTGTTTCTCACATACCCAGAAAGATGGTATTGAACTTGCTGATTTTTTCAGTTTCATCATGTCATAATAGTTGGAAGTGTGAATTTCCAGCAGGAGGCTTTTCTGTTTCATCGTAGGTTTAATGTAGGTAATATCCTTAGAAGGGCAGGAAAGGAAAATGCACTGCAACGTATTTTCAGTTCAACTCTACTATTGATGTGTAAAACCTGTATTTGGGATTAAGCTGTAACAGTAGCTGTGCTTCCAGGCCGGTTATTTCTTCCTTACTTTGGTAGACTGATGATACTTGGCTGTAGGACCATGCATCCATTTCCTAACAGGCAAGTAGTGCAACAGTGTCAAGCTGTGCAGATTTTCTTTAAGCTTGGCAGTGGGAAGGAGCAAGGAGATGAGAGAAGGGACAGCACCAAAGAACACACTGTTACTCGCTAGTAAGCCCTTCCCAGAGCAGTGCAGTTTTACACTGCCTCTTTGTTGGCCGTCAAGTCATATCTGGCATTCGCAAAAATCATCTTGCAAAATGATTTTTCATGAAGAACAGGAAATAGTTTACGTTAAATGGCTTGACAGTTGAACAAGGTGCAGATTAGTGGCGTACAATGACATATATCTTCAGGAAAATTAAAACCATGAGAGAGAACAGGTATTCTCCCTGGTTTGAATTGAGCAGCTGCTTGGCTTCTCTCCATTGTCAGCCACCTCTACAATCAGGGTGTGCTTTTGATAGTTGGTTTGCGTTTCCTTTTACTGAAATACTGTTGTTCTGCAGACACGTTTCACTCTGATGTGGTTTGCTTTTGAAACCATTGAGGAAATATCAGTGTGATATGTAGCTTGTCTTCTTTAACATTAAACCTATGCTGTCTTTTCTCATCTACAGTGGTTCACGACTAGGATCTATTCATCACCATGATGTTCGGGTTGCTCAGCACCATGTTGGGACTCTTTGCCAAAACAAACAAAGTATTTGTAGCCTGAAATGGTCACTAACCAACCAGTTGCTGGCAAGTGGGTCTAGTGATGGTATATTGAATATCTGGCCTGGTGACCCTGGTGTGAAATTGCAGTCACAGCCACTGAAAACCATACCTCATTCCTCAGCAGTTAAGGTATATGGGGAAGGAATGTCTGCTTTTCTATATTTGCTTTCATGAAATCACATTGTTGGTGTGGACAGTTAGAGAATTTTTCAAATTATCTCACCGATATCTATTAGCCTCTTCTCCCTGTTTGTGATGCAGTTAATTTTAAGACCAATTCTTGTTATTCCAAGTCACAGATAATTTTGCTATGGCTTTGATTAGGAAATTTTTACTGGATTAGTAGGCCTTTGGAAATAGAATGCCAAATATAAATAAAATTTACAGCCTTATCCCCTATCTGTCTGCCTTGCACAGAAAAGTTTGGTTGTACAATGCTTACAAGTTAACAAACAACATCTTTCAATTTTTGGAGTTTTGGAAAATTCTCTCTGCTGCAATTAATTTAAATATGAGGTTTCTTTTGCCTCCTTCCCATATTTCCATGTCACTGCTGGTAGCAAATAATCAGAAGTAGGAAACTGCAAATGAGACAATTTAAGATTCTTCATCTTTATGAAGTCCTAGTCTGTATAGGAGAGAGGACAAGTATTAGCAATAAGAGGCAGGGGAGTCCAGCATTTATAAGCTGTTTATCCTCCCAAAAGAGTCTGAGACTGTCCTGAAGCACTGGGGTTAAAGGGTCAGAGGAGTTTATTGAAACAGATGGAACTGAGTTCTTAGTAGCTTTTCTTCAGGTAGAGTCTGGGCCTTAGACATATCCTGGAAGTATCTCAGAAAACCAGGTCTCCTGTAAGCCCCATAAGTCATGTTGCTTAGGCTTCTGTGATGACTTGGTTTAGGCAGTAAGAATCTATCCTGCTGGGTTCTTCTGGTACTGAGGTGTGAGTCTGTGGCCTCTGAAAGGTAAGCAGAGAAGCTGGAGTTTTATGAGAATATGTGGGACAGTGTAGGCTACTGTGAAGCAATGGCAAGGGAAGCGGCATTTTGAGTTTTGGGATCCTACATTGCTCTGTGCATACATTCTGGGTGCTTGTTGCAGTTTGTTTTTCCAACTAGGCCTTTAAGCAAAAACTACTCTGTTTTTCCAACTGTCTTCCTAGTCTGTTCTGGCATGTGTTTTCTGTTTTTTTGCAGGCTATGAACTGGTGTCCTTGGCAGTCCGAAGTCCTTGCTACAGGGGGTGGAATGAAAGATAGGATTTTGCGTGTCTGGGACATAAATCGTGAGAAAATTATCCAAAGTGCAGCTACAGATTCTCAGGTGAAATGATGAAATGTCTGCATACTTGGGCTATGCTCTTCTTGTATAGCTGTGCTCATTTGGCAAACTCCCACTGACTTTGAGGGTGGTTCTGCGGTCAGAGGAACAGCAGGATTTTCTCTGGATGTGCAACTGTGCTACATTCAGCACTGCAGAGTGTGACTGGACTCAGCAGCAGTTTGTTGTTTCTCATTCACCACTTCTGTCTCCACACAGAACTGATTGAAGAGGAGGTGGTCTCGCAGCCAGACATTTATCATCATCTTTTCCTTATTGGCAATAATAGTTTTGGCCGAAATCTTGATGTGGAGAGAATGTTGAGGGGGAGGGAAAATTCCCAGAGTGCTGGGGTGAGAAGAGGTCTAAGAGTCAGAGGGCAAACATCAGTCTCTGGAGTTTGAATATTAGGAGACAGAGGAACAGATTCTCAGCTTGAGTCATAACTGTTGATTTTGCTGGAGCTATTACAACTTAACTGAGGATGTGTTTGAAGGGCTTTGGTTTTATATTGAAGGGTTGTTATCACATTTAGATAGGACAATAAGGCAACTGTACTTTGAGGTGTTGTAAGGAATGAAATGATCCTTCTAAATAAGTAAATATTCTGCTGGGACTATTTCTCAGTAGCTTGTTTAAACATTGTAGATAACATTTCAAATATACTGAATAGTGTATGTTGACCCTTTCTGAAAACTGACGTAGAATTTTAAATTGCAATAGATTTGTTCCTTGCTCTGGTTACCCAAAACCAGTGAACTGATGACTGGACAAGGCCTTCCTGGAAATCAGATGAAAATATGGAAGTGTCCTATGCTTATCAATTCATCAGAACTCTATGGCAAGTATTTCAGTTAGTAGTTTTAACTATTTCAGTTAACTAGCTGTCTAATCAGTGTGTTTTTGCAAGTGCATACCATATGCACTTACACATCCTCCCTCTGCCTACACACATGCATTCATGTGCACAATCCTGATTCACAGGGTTGTAAAGGTTGACTTATTAAGATAATAGTGTAAATTGCTTCTGTAAAATTCGTTGGTTTTAATGATGGGATTCTCTCCCGTCATCTCTAAGGCTATCTGAGGTGCAGGATGTGGATTTCCACTTCTCCCTAGGGCTTACTAGGCCTGGATTGAGTGTGCTAATGTCAGGTTGCTTCCAATGTATTCTAGGCTGATGGCCTTCTAGATAACACAAACTAGATGTGGGTCTTTGATTTTGCAACTCATCATGCAAGGATACTGAACCAGCTTCTAAATGATATTTCTTCATGAGCTGTCTGGGTTTTAGTGAGTGATTTTCTTCATGTGTAGCAAAGCAGTGCAGCATGTTTCCCTTGTACCATGCTGACAGCTAGAGGAAAGTGGACTTTTCTTGCAGTTCTATATTGGTCCATGGTGCTGTAGGGTTACACTACACATAAAAGTTGTTCCTTGCTATTAAGCCTTCTTGTTTCTGGTGCTTGCTGTCACTCCTATCCATTAAGTTTTACTTGTTTCAGTGTTAACTGAAGTGATCCAATAGAAGAATCTGAAATTAAAGGAAAATAATAAATTATTTGTGCACTGGCTGCATTTTCCCAAGTGTGGCTGTTTTTGCACATTCACCGACAAAATATGGCCAAAGAAGCTTTGGATTTTTAACCTGTCAGCTGATATTTACAAGTACTTTTTGTACTCTATTGCTACATTTGAAGGCATTTATTAAATCAATGATTTATTAAATCCCAGCTATACTGGGATGCTGTCCTTGGAACCAGGACTTAGGTGGAACAAGGGACTTGGCTTCAACACTGGCCTGTAAGAGGAAAGCACAGGAGAGTCAAAACAAAGATAGATGGAAGAGACATATGTGGATCTGGTTACACGTTACCCTTCTGTAATGCTGCTTGTCTGTTGCTTTTCCTTCCTTATTCCTTCTCATTTATGTGCAGCTCTTAAGGTACTGTCCTGTGATGTTCTGAGAAATGATCTGGAAAGGGACATGATCATCAGTCTTAATTACTGTAGCTTGAGGTTTCTCAAATCTTTGTAAGTCTTGGATATTCTATTTGAGATGAAACCTAGATTTAATCTTACCTGTGAGAATAGCGTATGGTGTAAAACATTTACTATGTAAGTCAGATGCATTGGTAATTTGATGAAGCTGGAGGGTTACTTATCATCCCGTTTCCTGTTCAGTTTACATATCTGCAAAAAACTAATTTTCATGAACAAAAAGACCAGGTAATTGTCACACAGGTATATTCCTGCTTATGAAGACTCTTAATAACTTACTGTAAGCAATTAAATGTTGGAAGAAATTGTAAATGTATTCAAATATGTTCAGAAAAAATATTGTGATGGATGATTGTGAGGTGGTTCTAAGTCAGCCTCAGACACATTTAACCACATTAGTTTTACACTCAAAGGAATAAACAGATAAATTGTAACTGAATCTCATTGTTTAATCCCCCTGCAAAATGCTGAAGACTTTAGCTAACAATGAAGTACTGTCAGCTACTTTAGGGTACTTTGGTAATTGAGGTTGTCTGTTACTGATCATACTCAGAACAGAATAATAACTGATAGTAACCTTTTTATAGCACTGAGTCCATTTTTGAGATACTTCTGATAGAACTATTAGAGTAATTTACTAGAAAAAAGGATTCATTTTGGATGTAAATGCCCTCCCCTTAGAAAAGTTGTAGATCAAATAAAACATACAAACAAATAAAAAGTACTTGCTTTGAAAAATATCTGAATGTCGTCTTGAAACAATGAAATAAAATGAGAAAACTCTGCTCAGAAAACATGAAAATGAGTAATTTGACTTTTCTGGTTTCTCCCTATCCCCCTTCACTTCTTTTTGGCTGAAACTATTAATCAAATTTCTGTCAGTGTTGTGAATAGTTTTAGATGCCTCCAAAGACTACATCTCCAGCTCTTCCTTCAAAGTCGTTACAGACACTGAATGGAGACACTGTAAAGAATTTGCTGAGTTGTAAACTCATCATCTTAAATATTGACAAAGATCGTGTACACTTGAGAAGGAGCAAAGCCTGAAAATTAATCTCTGCTCAAGTAATTTAGTGGTGGTGTCAAAATTGTAGTCACAAAGTTTAGGAGAGCCATGTGTTACTCAGCACCAGGACAGCAGATATTTGCTTTGAGAGCAAAGAGCCATTGCAGCAGCTTCACAAGTTAGGGCAGACTGTCCATCTACAATGGTCCTACAGATCTTCATCAGGTACCGTTGGGATAAGTACCATAGTTTCAGAGGGTGTTACAGTTCCTCACATGTTTATCCTCATAAAATTATTTTGAGCTAGAGAAGTGTTATCCCCTTGTGTTCATGGAGAACTCAGGAACAGATGACAGAAGGACAGAGGTCATTTACATTCATTCAAGTTGGTCACCCAAGACTTCATACCTTCACACTTCCTTTTAGGATGTGGTTCATCTGGTCTATTTTAGATGAGATATACTATGTCTCAGAAATTTGTTTTTTCCCCTTGGGTGACTAGCTCAGCTATGTGATTGTCAGTAACTCACCCAACCAGAAAAGCTAATGGCTGGTAACTTGCAGTAAAAAAACTTCTAATTTCTCTTGCCCCTGCGTACCTAAAAACCTCATGGGTTTGCTTAGTATTGACATTGTGCTAGATGATACAGGAGGTCTATGGCAAAGCAGTAAGGTAAATACGGGTCTCAACAGTCTCAGTTTAGTACCAGGCCCTTTCTGCCCTCAGTCCAAATTCTGTTGCTTCTACTGAGGGCGATTCTTGTATAACCAGGTTAATGAGTTTTGTACGTTCTTTGTGCTGCTAGACTGGCGTAGCTTCTGGCCTTCAGTGTCTAGCTCCCAAAGTTTACTACAACTGCAGACAAACTCAATATACAATTCCAATAAATTATTTAGTGGGATTACTGTTAAAAGATCTCCTTAACAGTAGTAACTGAGTAGCTGGAGACACTATTTCATTATTGTTGGATCAGCTGCAAACTGTCTGCAAGGTGTGTTCTGCCAGATGGGAAAGCTTAGCAGTGAGACACATTACCAAACACAGATGAGACTGATGTTGTAAATGCATGGAGAATCAAGAGTTCAGGTTCAATGTTCTCCTTTGACAGAAATGTCTTCTTAATGTGGTGCAGTCCTGGCACCTAATATATAGATCCCTAATAAAAAAATACTGCCTTCAGCTCTTTCTTAATGTGAAAATATTCTATAGATAATGCTAGTTTCCCACATCCTATGCAGCATGTTTTGCTGCTACAATAAAAGTGGAACAAGCCATTGTGTGGGTGGGGGTGATGAAAGTGACTGGCATAATCAGTGTAGAATTGTGATGTATCTTTCCTTTTTTTGTATGTATTTTATTTTACAGGTCACAAAGGGAGAGTCCTGCATATAGCCCTGAGCCCAGATCAGAGCAGGCTCTTTTCTGTTGCAGCTGATGGGCTAGCTTGTCTATGGAAATGCCATGAGTCTGGGGAGAGCAAGCACAGCAGCAAGGCTTTTTCTAATGGTTATTTGAGCTCATTCTTGTGACTTCTTTTCCTTGAAAGCAAGTGATTAAATGTATGTAGACCATTCAATAATTCAAAATATGTGTGTTCTTTCCAATGGAAACATGGCAAAAGATAGTACAATTTTTTGAAGAGAAAGCAATTTTCCCCATCAATCCATCATGTGAAATGTTAGTAGCTTGTCTTACTTACCCTAGAGGAAAAACACTTTAACTCTGAATAATAACATCATATTTATTTTCATTAAACTAGCAAGCATGGATGGAATCCACCCTGTGTCAAATGCCAACATAAAGTCTTAGGTCCAGCTGTTAGCTGTGATTCTTCTAAGTAATTTTATATCATCTTAGTGTCCCCATTGGGAACCACATGCCAGTTCATGTAAATTGCCTTGAATCATTCAAAGGCTAGGACGAGCAGAGGCCAGTCCAGAGTTCTATATATCACATATATTGTTCTGTATATCACATAGGTCATGGTACAGAATCTATCTAAATATTTCTAGCGATCTAGGTTAGGTATGTAACTGTAACTAAATATAAATGATTTGTTGTGGATTCTTCATTGTTTTCGTAGTAGTAATGATAACTAGCTTAATTAGAAAACTGTCTTTATTGGATTTTGAATTATGTCCTTTCCTTAAACACACCTACTATGTTTGACAATGACTGAAAATATAAATAATTGCATAATAATTCTATTATTATGCATAATTGTGTAATCAACTGGTTGATAAGCCAGACGGACATAATCAAAGAAGCATGCTGTTTGGATCAAACTCAACAGTTAGTTCATTCATTCCTTAAGGGTACCAGTTTAATTCTGGGTGTCAGCAAACCTGGCAGCTGTCACCCTCTTATGAATTTTATTTAATGCTCACAAGGACCAAACCTGTCGGGCTTTAGCAGATGTTTACCTGTGTAAGACTTACACACTGTCAACAGCTAGGGAAGGATTTTTGGACTGGTCTTCAGATGCTATTCAGATGCAATTCAGTAGTGCTATTCAAAATGTGTTCTATCCATAGATGTCTTCGGAGCTTTGCTTTCATTATTAGGAATGATGAGAGGCAAGGGGTAAGGATTCACTCTGGCATTGGTATATTAAAACTCCTGTGAGCTCAGAAACTCATAATATTTGGATTTTTAATATTTGGATTTTTTTTTTTTTTTTTTTTTTCTGCTGGAAATTTATTTAGAATATTTCCTGTAGCTGGGGAAGAATGGGAGATTAGGGGAGTAGAGCAGTGTCAGCCCATGGAAAATTATGCTGTGGTCAAATGTGTGAAGAGAGATAAGCAATGTTAACAGGGGCACAAGTATACCTGGAAATGAATGTGAAACTGTAATGTCTTTAGTTCTCATCATTTTTAAAACCTCATCTTCTGCTGTTCATAAATCATGTGGTTGCTAACTTTAGGTCTGGAAGGTGAGACCACTAATCTTTTTACCTAGTGAGATGTTAATTTACAATAAATCTGCTACTAAACTGCTGGTTTCTGATGTCATCTCGTGTGGTCTTCAAACGAAGAACGTTGGTTATCAATTGAGAAATGACTACCAAGAAGCTGATGTCTAAATATGGGAAATTTAGTTCTAAATATTAGAAGATTTAGTCTTCTAATATGAGCATGTTTGTTGCAGCAGATTTTATCAAACAATTAGAATCTGTTTAAACATTCAAAATACCATTTTAAATAATCTAAAAGTTTTAAAAAACATTAAATTTTTTTTTCTCTTTTGAATGGGAAAAAAGGACTGGAATTAGCGTCTCTACTCATATATTTTTTTGATTCTTCCAGAAATTCTCTATCTTTGCTTTGACAGTACCTAAATGATATTGGTTTGACAAATATAGGAAGAGGTGTATAACACAGGATGGGGGGCTGTGGTAGGGAAGGAGCTGGTCAATGTTGAGGCCAAGCATTTTTGTTGGATACTCAACTGTCAAAATAAGAAAATACATTTCTTTCAGACTGAGAAGTGCTCATTTCTTAGTTAATTAGGCTTGTTCATTATTGAGTGGTCAAGCTGTATTGCCCCCGAAGTATTTTAATGTAGTATTTAAAAGTGGTAGAAGTCACTGATGTCAGTAGAACTGACCAACAGCCCATAAATATGAGAGAATCTTGTATGTGTGACCTGTAGGTCTATTCTGTGATCAAGTCTGAGAAAGCATTAAAATGTGTTTAAATTCCAGACTCTGACTAATCAAGACTGAAATTAAACATATAAATAAACTGGAGTGCCTTTTCTGAATGTGCTTCTTTTCTAGATAGGCTCCTTTACTGCTAGATTCTTTCGCAAGGCAAATATCTATCTTTCTGTAATAGGAATCTGAGGACTTGAGTAGGCAGCATGATTCTGCTTCATTAATCTTTTGCAGGTAATGTTACTGAATACTTGTAGGTATAGAACATGCAGTTGCTGAAAGTAGCTTGCCTCATTCTGCCAGTGCATAGGACAAAACATACGAAGTCTTGGGCAAAATGTGAATTCCTGACTTGCTCCCTGTAGAATATGACGTATTTTTAGCTCATTGCATGTTATAGGCCTAGTATTTTGTTCAGGCTCAGACTGAGATAGAAATCAGAACCCATTTCTAAGAGGTCAGCTTGTTTGCATCTGAGGTCTGTATGCACTAAAGGCTTAGTCTTGAGAGGTGCACACAGGATTAAGTAATTAAGTTGCTTTAGCTCAGGCCTTCATCCCCACAGTCGTGTCCAAGGTGGAGCACTGTACAACATATGGAATCCAAACCTTCGGGACAAAAATAATTTTTGCAAGAGAAGAACTTCATTGCCCACAGAAAGCATGTGTCTTCCCAGCTATACCAATATGACAAAGTGATTGTCTGTAATGCAGTGAAATGAATTAAAGAAACTCAGACTGGGGAGTCCTTTTGTTTCCACACATAAATGCACTAGTCTGTAGCAGACAGTCCCCTGTTCTTCAGCCACTATATGGTCTGACTTGATGTTACCTACATAAATATTGCATTAGTTTGTGTAATGCAGTTTATACCTGTTCGTTTTGCCAAGTTACCTCATATAGCCACTGTGAGAAGAAATTATTACATTCATGATGTCACAATGATATCAAATGATCAAAACAATTTTCTTACCTAGTACAAACTTCCATCCTATGGTGGTAGAGCTGTATTGGGAATGAGTGCATGCCTCTTGATCAGAGAAAGTCCTCGCCTAGATGAAAACTCAGTTCTGTCTTCTTGCTCTTGCTTTCCCACAGGTTTCCACTACTGGCAGTGGTGACAGAGGCTTCAATGTTTTGTTTACCATCTAACTCCAGTTCCACTGGTTCATTTTGCACAATTCACTAAATAACACTCATGTAAAAAACCAAGTTTTTAAGCTACTTTGGGGTAGATCCTAAATTTCAATCTAGAGGAGAAAGGCTGCACATTTTTTCTTGCATTTCTCCTTGATCAGAACCTCTCCTTCCTGGTCTCTAAGGTTCTGCAACACTTGGGTCGGAACTACTTTCTGAAAAATGGAGAAATTCTGAATGATAGGCTTTGAGCAGGACTTTCCACTGGCAAGGGTGCTGCCTGTGACTTCCATGGAAGAGGAAGAGGCAGACCAAAGAAGAAGCAGTAAGATAAAAAAAATGCTATAGCAGGATGAAAGACTGAAAAAATGAGCAAAGAGGAAAGAAATGAAGTAAGACTAATGTATGGGAAGAGTGAAATAGCCCTAGGTGATCAATTGTCTTGAAGATCAGCTACAGATTTTTCACTAGATTGTTAAGGATATTTTGCCTGAAATTTTTTAGAATCAGATCTTCTCTAAACAAGGGTTTGGTAGTTTGCAAGAATAGAAAAAGTCTGGACTTGTCTTACTTATTTCCTGTGTGTTTAAAGACAGAACCAAAGTCACCCCTTGGGGTGCCAGCACCAGTCAGTGAGGCAAATTCTCCTCTCAGTTTCACTAATGCAATCTTACTTGGCTGGGAATTCTTCTCTCTGCTCCTGCTTTGCTTCTGTGTTTGTGTGTGCCTCTGTGTCTGTGTGCGCCTCTGTGTCTGTGTGCTTGTTTGTGTGTTCAGCCGGAGAATTGGAACAAACATTTCAGGAATAAGAACAAGGAATATGAAAAGTTCTGACTGTGTAATGTTTGTAATGGACAGGAAATATAAAAGAAAATGTTCAGCATCAAACCTATCAGTCAAGATCCCTGTAGTTTAGGCCCTCTCTCTCCTCACCCTTCATTATTCCTCTATGACAAAACTACTGTTTCTTCTCAACAAGATCAGATGAAGGCAGTTGTGTAAAAAAGTTTTAGTCTGTATTTTCTCATATTGTGTTTGTAAGTGGTGTTTAATTGCTCATGATGAACCGAGCAATCATTTTTAAATTAATACAAGATTTCTCCACTCTTTGGATGTCTTCTGCTTTCTTTTAGCTAATGCCCACTTCCAAGTAAAAAAACCCCAAAGCAACACAAAATAAAACCAAACCCTTTTTGAGGTATTCATGGCATTGAAAATGCCCAAGACTGTTAATACACAGATGGGCAGAAGCATTTTTCACAATAGGTCTGTTTGCTGTTTGACAAGTCATTGTTGAAGCACTTAAAAGTTTCACTGCATATCTGAAACAGCGCTTTATCATACTGATACTGCAGCTGAGCCACTTTCTGCCATTTCTCTGGAGGATGGATTTTCAGCTGATTTTTTAACGTAATGTTGCTGATCTTGGTGCATTCTGCAAACATATTGCACATCCAAAACGTTACGTACACAGATTGTCTGCACTGCAATAGACAGAGCTTTCCACATAAATTGACAGCTGCAAGCAGTAGATTTTTATTGCCATTTCTTTATTAAACGCAGAGTACATAAAGGAATGAAATCTAGAGGTTTCAAATAAAAGACAGTTAGGAAATGCGTGCTTACTTTGTCCTACAATCAAATGCAGTTGCTGAAACTTAATTTTCTGAAGCTTTGCAATCCCCTATACCTGTAACATCAGGAGCTCTGCTGTGGAGAAACTACCTAGTTTTTTTCAGATGTCTGGAGTTGTACCTTGCATCTCACTAACTTTCAGGGTTATTTGCAGAAGTCCAGATACAGAAGAGTGCAGTATATACTCAGCATGCAGTGAGGACACAAACAGCTGGATTAAATTCTTGGTCAAAAATATTCATCCTTCTAGAGCTCAGTCAATGTGCAATGCAAGAATGTCGGAAACCTGAGTCACAAATGCCCGTTTGTGGAATGACTCCATGGCTGATAGTATAAGCTACAAATGCTGTTGTAGCAGAGCACTATGTTTTGGTCCTGTTAAGATCACATCTGTCCTGAAAACAGACATAGGTATTTTCATCTATAAGGACATCAGGCTGCTAAAATTCAACATGAGAATATATCTTTTTATCAGTATAATGAAGCAATTTTTCAAAGTGTGTTTCAAAACTAGATATTAGTACACAAGTACAGAGTAGGAAATCACTTGGTCAAAAAAACCCCCACCTATTAGGCTCCCTGTATGGTTTTCCTTATCCACTGAAGGTATTGCTTTGTGAGTCGAGTGTAGACACCAGGGCCATCAGCACGACCACACTTTGACTTCCCAAAAGCAGTGATACCTCTCATCACGTTATTGCATCTTAAAGGTCCACCAGAATCCCCCTGGAAAAAGGGAAAAAAAATTGGCATTCAAATTTACAAAACTTAATAAATGCTTCTTTTAAATAAAATTTGCAGCAGCTGCATGGAGGAAATAAAAATGTAGACAGTGCTATTGTGGATTTCTTTTTTTTCCTCCTTGGAAGTTAAGATTTTCATTAGCAAAAAAGAAAAAAAGACTTCAATCTGATCTTTCAAGTGTAAGTAATGGGGAATGAATCTGGCTCAGTGCTAAGGAAGTCTTTCTGAACATGAAAAAAAAATGCTGGAAACTTGAAAAAGTTTCCTCTTGAAAAGCAGGAAGTCTTTAGAAAATGGTACCTTTCTTGTAACTTCATTAATTCAATATTTAAATCTTTTAAAATATGGTAGTTCTAACACAGTTGTGCATTTGACTTGAGGCCCAGTCAAAATGCTTTTTATAAGCAAAACTTGTTTCAAAGCTCTCTGACATCAGAGAAGTTGTTCCACTGAGGTTAGCTGCTTGAAAATGGGCTCATAAGCTATTTTGTGGAGATTTTTCTATTAAAATCACTTTACTGAAGAAGAGAATAGCTATCTGCCATGCCTGGATAAAACCACAGTATCCAAGGTCTGTGAAGGTGAATTTATCAATATCAGAAGTTTTGATTTTAAGGCTTAGAAGAACACGCCTTTTTAATACAATCATTTTTAATAAAATTCTTCATTGAACTGAGGAGAGGCAGAAATTGTAACTCTGTAAAAGTTAGTAATTTATATTTGATTTTTAATATAATCCATGTGGATATAGACAGTAAGTATACTTACATTACATGAGTCCTTTCCTCCATTCTTAGCCCCTGCACATATCATGTTGTCTGTTATAACAGGATTGTTTTTATAATGCTTCTTGTCATTGCAGATTTGCCTACTGATGACGGTGATATTGACCTCCCTCAGGGTATCAGAGAACTGTTTCAAATCACTGTTAGTTCGTCCCCATCCTGCTACTGTGCAAGTTGTTCCTGGTTTGGGATCATCACCTGAGGTAGGCAGGGGAATGAGCTGCACAGCTTTATTAAGTTTTGCTCTTCCCTGAAGCTGTAGAAGATATGGAAAATAGTTATTACAGGACAGAGTCTAACAGAGGCCCCTGCATTTGCATGTTAACCATTGGATCTTTTCCATTACAGTAATGGGGGATTACTGCAACTTCATTTTGAGATTCCTCAGTTCTTTGTGACAGGATTTATCTAATCAATGTAAGAATGAGGAAAATGAGTATTCTTTGTGTCATGAAAACCCATTTAGCTTCTGCTGAAATATCCTGCTGGAATTTGAACCAAATTATTTCTATGTGTGAAATATGCTTCTTTCTGTGGACGATCTTTATTCTTTCACTGAGAGCCAGAAATTGAAATATCTTGGTCAAGCTCCAGAATTTTTCTACTTCTAGTGTTGGCATGCATTACAGGAATTGTTGATTGCCTTAGTTCCCAGTGCATCCCCAATTCTCTAGCCTGCTGGATTAGCAGACTAGATTATGTCACCCCAGAAAAAAAGTTACCAGGAACTCCCTTGGCTCATCTCCCTCACAAGAAGGAAGAAACTGGTACATCATAGGAGATGCATATTCTATAAATGATGTGTAAGTCTATACCTGCAGCAGCATAATGTCATTTTCCTTAGAGCGGGCAAAGTAGCGTGGGTAGGGAATTTGGTTTTTAATCTGAAAAAACTGTTTTTCTCTTTCATTTGCTTTCCACGAATGAGCTCCAAGAATAACTTTGCCTCCTTCCCTGAGAAGAGAGACAACACAGTTAGTGGGATTCACTTGCTGTAACTCCATAATTCTTTGCTGTTAAATGTGCTCCTATGATGTCCAGCTGCTACAGAGTCTCTTTTCTCATGCCTGGAAGCAACAATGATGTAGAAAAATATAAAAGATTACCCTGTTTTCACAAGTAGTTAAAAAAAAATTGACTCAGTGAATCAAAATTCATGCTATCTTATTTTTGGCTTCCCAGGAGCTTAGACAGGGTTCAGGTACCTGACTCTAAGTCTACCCCTATTGTTTCCCTTTGGGAACTAAATGGGAGGTGGATGCATCAGCTTTGCTGTTGGTAGTGGTCTCACCAACTATGCCCTCTGCTATTTGTGCTGAAAATTTAGAAGAAGAGCTCACAGCACTGTTAGTTCAGAGATCATCATGACTAGACTGAATTGTACTGCTTTGCTCTAGGACAATTTCAACACCATTTTCTGAGCCCATGTGAGACATAGCTCATTCCCTTTCTCTAACTTGTTCTGCAGCTTAATGTACTTACTAGATACTGAAGTGGTGACAGAGTTGGGCCTGCTGGGGCTCTCTGGTATAGAAACCAGGAGTCTAGCACTCCTTGGTCAAGCAGTCCAAGTGTACTTTTATATCAGACCACAGGTATAGATGTTTGTGGGAGAACAATGTACGTTACAGCTGAATGGGAGAGTATTCTTTGAGCAGATGTGTAGGCTGGCCCTCATTTGCATCTTACTGCAGCAAATGCAACCTGAGGAAGTTGTGGATCCTTTTCTTCAGTTATTAAGAACTATCTGACTGTTGACTGAGCATCATTAGGTTAATTATTCATTGTGTTTTCTCTTAAATGTGATCTCATTTGGAAACATTCTTTACCTTATGTTAATACAACAGCTTTTAGGCGCTATGCTGTCTTTGTAGTAGGTCCCATATATCTCCCTGTTTGGACAGGGACAGAAGAGATTAATACATTTCTCGGAGGTCTGTGGAGCCCAGTGATTCACTGGTCCCAGGCAGGCCGTTGACAGAGCCTGTGCGAGGTCTGGCTCAGCAGCAGTTTCAGTCCTCCTCACAAAGGCAAGGGGTGGAATGTGTCATTTAAACCTCACGTCTTGCATCTTGAGTTAGGAAAAAGAAATCTTGGCTGAAAAGGCAACATATGTGTAGAACAGAGAGATCTCAGTGTCTCCTGTCATCTGCCTGGAGGATTTTTGCTCCTGTATAACTCATGCTGTCTCATTCTGTGTTGAACTGAATATCTTTTACAGAATAAAATGACAGGAGTTTATTTCTGTTTTCTGAACACCTATTTAGACTGGCCTAGTACACTGGTTGACTGGGAAAACAGGGATAATCCTTTCCCCCAAATTCACTACTTCAGGGTTGCTATTCTGTGCTTGCATGCAGCTAGAAGCCTGTAACGTATCTCTTCAGAAAGAGTAAAGATCTGTATGCCTTGTTATATTATTTTTTACTCACCGAAGCACATTTGTCAATATAAATAAAACACGGTAATCAGAACATAGTCATGGTCTGAATCAGAGTAAGAACTTACACAGAACAGTGGGCAGCTGTTAACACCCAGTTTTCCTTGATCAAAGCTCCTCCACAAAGCGGTTTTCCATTTGCTTGGCTGATTAGGGCCATAAATGGTCTGGAGTGTGGTGCTACTTCATTTCCTCCAACAATATCCACACACAATCCTAAAAATAAAAATAAGCCACAACACACACAGCTGGGCTAACAAATACTGTAAGACACTCAAAGTCTGTTAGAAAAAACAGTTAATGTAATTACAAAGTATACAGACACACAAATATATACATAGGTCACAATGCTGATCTTCAAGGCAAACTTTTAAAATTGCTCAGCAGTACTACTTCTGTATGTTTCAATGGGACAAAAATTAGATCGGTGGGGTGCGCTTTGGCAAGAAAAACACCAAAGTATTGTTGCACTTGCACAGATTTCTTTTCTTGAAGTTCACTGCTATGGTTAATTTCTTAGCTTTCCTTGTGAGTAACAGCCTCAGATCTGCCACATGATAAATGTTGTACAATACATGACTTACACAGACAACTGGAAACTGGGCTATATAGTGTAAGTCACATTACATGAACCTGCTTTTCAGAAAAACAGAAAATCAAGAGATTAATGTATGCGTATGCCTCTGGAAAGAAAGGTGAGATAATTATTATGTTAACTCCTCAGAACTCCTCCAAATAGGCTGTCCTCTGTGCAGCTTTAATTAATACTACCCATTCAGAAATGATTTTGTTTGTATGAAAGATCAAACACATGCAGACAGTGGAAAAGAGCTAATAATAAGAACTCAAATAATATTTGTGACTACTTCCTTTACATTAATACATGGTGGCTTAACTGGAACTCTGCACATCAGCATTTACATTCAAAAGGATTGAATTGGGCACTTACCTCCACGAATTACAAGGAGAATGACAGCAGCAGAGGTGGACAAAGTGAGGAAAGCTCCCATGACTTCTGTCTGGTGTTCCCCCTTATTCACTGTTTAATATATATCTCTAAATGAAAAGGATGTGGGTTTTGTTTTTCCTCTTAAGGATATTTGGTATTTGTAAGTGTGACAAAGGCAAAAAACCTCCCCAACAATGTAGCTTACAGCAGAGTTGTCAGTGACAAATTGCATCATCTGTTGTGGTGTGAAGACGGGATCTGCCCCACTTCACATGCTCTCCTGCATTTGCAGAGAGCTATGTATGAGTACTGGGGTGAAACCTTGCAAGCCACTACTTGTCCGGTTAGTTACGCGGTGGGACTCAGTTCACTTAAATTTAGGCTTGATTCAGTTGCCCACATGAAGATATGTAGTTTCATTCTAGATAACCCAAGTGACCTCCAGGTCAGAGATGAATCCCAGCCCATTCCCCATTAGAGAGTTACCTGTGCTGTTCAGGAGCCCCTCAGGGCCAAGGAATCTGATGTTTGCTCCTTTCAGCATCTGATCCTACCTCATTAGATTTGTGCAGGATGAGCACCCATATAGCACTGAGTGTGGTCTAGTGGCCTAGAGCTAAGGGTATAATGCCATTTGAAGTTTCTTAAGGTGTCTTAGGTCTGCCACCTGGTGCAGAAGCCCATGAGTCTTCTGTAGATGCTATGTCAGATTTGCCAGTGCTGTGCCTATGTGTGGGAAACCCAGGGTATCTCAAATGCTACTAAATGACTAGTTTTAGGCAATTGAATTAAGTCCTGAAAACTGAATAAATCTTATTAGAGTCTTGTAAAGGCACAGTTCCTCACTTCCAAATATATACCCGAATAAAAGAAATGACTTCCATCTATATTAAATAATTTGGAATATCAAATATTCTATTAACTAACTAGGTACAATCAGTGAAGTGTCTCTTCTACACAGCCTGGAAGGTTTCTTGAAGACTTGAGCCTCACTACAGTCAACCTGCAGAAAGCTTCTGTGTTCTGGCTGTGTCACATCTTTGAGCTCAGTTGGTCCAGCCTGAAGTGAGTTTTACCTGCAGAAGACCTTGGATGGACAGCTGGCTCAAATCTACCATTGCCCTCCTTTCTGTGACAAAGGGTAATTGTTGGCGATATCCCTGAAGAAGGCAGATGTGGAGCTATTTTTAGAGATCATAGAGCTCTTTGTCACTGATGTGGCTCATCAGAGACAATGTCACCTATGTGACATGGTGACAGCTCCATGTACTGCAAAACCATACCAAACTTTTAATTTTCTCTCATTTTTCTCCTTGCTACCTGCACATCCCCCATAACTATCAGCAGTTTGTAGCACTGCTGGTTTTTTTTCCCAGTGTTCTCCTGAACACAACATCACCAGGTATCATAGGTACTATTCTTTCATTTATCACTTATAAATAGTTGCCAAAGTCTGACTTTATGTCATTTTAATTAGCAGTCTTACCATTTGAAGCTATTTCCTCTGTGGACTATGCACAGACATGATCAAGATGAGCACTTGTGAGCAAAAATCCTGTACACTAAGACCTGCTTAAACTCATAGTACTACAATGATTCATCCTTGGATATTCCTATATGAAGTGCCATGTCTAGTGAAAAGAGGTTTGGTATGTATCATCCTATGTTTAACTGACCTATTTTCAAGAAAAAACTATTTGGGAGACACAGAATAAAACATTAGTAAATGTTCCTAAATGTTTTCCAGGCAAGTAAGATAAATCTATGCCTGCCATCTAAAAACAAATCTTCTGTATCCTGTTTATATTTTTTCAATATCTAAATGCACTCCTATTTACTTCTAAATTGTACTTACTTATAAAGATATTTTTCTGTAACTCCATAGGTATTAGCATATCCATGCCTTTTTAAAAAAATCCCTCTGATCCTGAGAGAGCTCATTTACATTGATAATTAGAATTAGGAATATGCAGTCTAAACTACCGTTTGATAACAACTGACCGCTTTCTGTGTAAGCTCCTTCTGAGCAACAGCTCTGACTATCACATAGTCCTAAGATTGATTGCACAGGTATTAAAGAGCAGATTGATATGCGCATAATCATCCTCCAGTTTTGTACTCAAATGCTTTTGTCAGTGTCCTTTTCAACTTGTAACTTATGTAGATGAGGCTGAAAAATTGACATCAAATTTTAGGGTGTGCAATGAGTTGGCTGGGCTCCTTTGGTTATGGCAATAAGTTAATTTATAGTCAAGTTTAGATTTTATTGGCCTTTTGCGTGCAAAGGGAAACCTCAAAGCAAAACTTCCTTCTCTATTTGAGTTCATTGTCAAATTCTCTTACTAGCTCCTCTGCTACATGAGCAATTGGTCTTCAAGAGGATGAACATATGTAAGCAAAATGCTCCATCCTTCCCCCCTGCAGTGTCCAGGAGGCACAGCCACTCTCTCAGCAGAAACCACTGCCTGAGTAAAAGAACAACGAGTCTACCCAGCTCCTATTTCTAGGTTTTGCCTTTGAGGAAATTTCCCATGGGCATTAAGCAGATGACTTTTAGCTCTGTTCAGTACTGTGTTGAGCCCTTCTGTCCCTGATGTCATACTTGGTTGCTTTGATCATTTTGCTTCTACAGTGACTATGCTCTTTTTTCCTTCATGCTGCTTTCTGTGGTGCTAAAGGTGAGCATCAGATGTGATTTTAGGAGACCAATTCAGGACACCAATTTAAAGTGCAGCTCTAAACCTTCCAGAGCTGCTGGGTGCCCGAGTTCAGGCAGCACCTCAGCTCAGGGGCAGGGCTGGTGCCTGGAGCTGGGGCAGGGAGGGCAGGAGAGGGGTGCAGAGCGGGCAGCTGCCGGGAGCACAGCAAGGCAGAGCTGGGCTGTCTCCTCCCTGGGCTGTCCCATCCCCAACCCCACTCCAGTGTGTTTGTCTGGACCCATCCCTCAGTGGTTGGGGGACACGCTCCCAGGGACTCGCTGAGGAAGGGACAGGACATATGCTGGGGATACCTATTTTACTTTCTTCTCTGGTACCAGTGTCTCATGATATTTACCTGTTGTCTTTTCTGCCTCAGCTGTTTGTTCAGCTTCCCTATTTTTATCTATTTACTTTGTGATATCACAGAAAAATGTAGTAGCACAGAAATACAAGTAGATGTAGTTAACTCAGGGAGTCCTCAAAACCTTGTAGCAGATCAGCGTTATTTCTATGACGTTGAATGTACTTGGCAAGTACTGAAAGAATCCAGTATTAGATATTATGCTCTGGAAACCCAAGGCTTCTCCTGTCTGGTCAGAATGTGGATCTGTCACCCATTTTGTCTCTTATGCTGCTTTCTAAGCCAGCAACTTAGTTGGAGGGCAAAGCCATAAAGGACTCAAACATAATTATGCCTTTAGGACTCTCTGCAGAGATAACCTCCAGTGGGTGAATAATCCCAGGATTAGTTGGAGGATGGAGAGTCATTTTGGGGTAACTAGAGCTGGCTCTTTTATAAGCTGATGAATTCTAAAAGTCATGTGTTTTCTTTTGAAAGAGCTTTGGAAGAGTCTTCTGAAATATGAAATGTGTTACAGTCTGTTGCATCATGCACATGTTTTCAAACTGGGTTGTAACTAGTAAGATTCCTTGCCATAGAAATAAGCATTTGAATGCTATAATCTCATTCAACAATCTAGACAGCTGCCGTTCTATAACTCATGAGTAAAAATGAGAGGTAGTTATATTGGGCAAGTTACATTTCTGATTCTTTCTAAAGGTACTTAAGATGATAGCAGGTTTTTTAAGTTCTTCATGCAAGGACATGGTGGTTTTTTGTAGTGGTTTAGCAGCAAGGCATGCAAAACATGGGTGTAGACACAGAGGTTTGCAATACAGAAATGTCTATCCCACCACTGTGTCTTTTTATCTTTTTCTTGTGGCCACTGATCAGATATTTTGTTTGCATTTGACACTTGCACGTTCTAGAGTTTTCTGCATCTGAATCCTGCACCCGCAAAAACTGTTGCTAAGAAAATACAAATTGCTCTGCTTTCCATGTGTGTAGCTTGTCTTTTGTGTCAGGCATTCCTACGCTTATCAGACAACAGATGCCTGCCAATTCTCAGTGCCTCTCATAATGTATGAGTCTTTTTCAGGCTTTCAACTGAAAATGTTACCTGGGCAGTATAATTCTGCAGAGGATTTGCTGGCTGCTGCTGTATCTTGGTCCAATTTGGGAATGACTTTTGTACTCTACTTGCCCTGAGTTTTCCCTCACGCTGTTGTTCTGTGAAGCTTTTTCAGGTGGCCCTTGTATTTCTTCTCCCATTTGTTCACTAGATTGAAGATGGCCAGTTTCATTCTTCTGACATATTTCAATTTTTTTTTTTCACTATAAAGTCAAAAGAGTGTTGAATTCTCTGAGACATTTAGGGTTTATTATACATTCATCCCATGTAATGCTCAGGAATTTTCTTACGTGCTTGTTTTCTAATGTAATAGCTGTGGTGTGAAGGGCTGCTGAAGTTCCTGTAAGACTTGGACCAATTAATATTGACATATATTGAGGATTCAAGAAACATTCAGGTTTGAAGAAACCTGAAGAAAGAACCTAAAGAAACCAAAGTGCAGTTAAATAATACAATATTAATGATGTAAATGGAAACTTCAAGAGAGGGAGCTATTTATAAAACCTTTCAAGCACCATTTCCTGTAGGGGACATTTAAATAGAAAAGGCTGTATCATAATTTACAAGGCTTTTGTCAGTAAATAGCAGCAGCTATGGCAAGCCACCTGTTAGCTCTCCTGCTCTCTCTAATCGCTGTTATCTTACTCCCGAGACGTAAGTACTCACCTATGAATAAAAATGTCAAAATTCCCAATTCTACTGTATAACACGTAACATAATTGCACTTCTGTTGCATTTCAGATGGCTGCACAAAGATTATTGGAGGACACGTTGTGTATCCTCATTCCTGGCCTTACATGGCTGCTATCCAGAGGAAGAATGTAACTGATTGTGGAGGAGCTCTTGTGGAAAAGCAGTGGGTTTTGACAGCTGCGCATTGTCAGTAAGTATCTTACACTGAGGCAATTTTAAGTCTTCATTGAGTTGGGGCATGGTGTGCAAGTTTCTAAGTAAAGAAAGGTGGATCTTGATTTTTTAAGAATTGTTAAAAGCTGCAGTTCTCTCACTGGACTGATCAAAGAACTTGCCATTCTGTTTTAAGCTGTTTTGTAAACTACTGATCTGCATTGTGTACAGTTACCTTCATTAGTCAGATCCTGCCAATGTTATAGGATACAGACTGTGCTGATAAAAGACCCAATTCATTATTAATGCATCTGGAACAGCAATGTCTTAGAGAAGGGGATATACTCCAAAATGCTTTAAACAAATCTTACTTGTGTGCCTGGGACTAAGCCTCAAAACACCCTGAGACATGAAGTTGAATTAGATGGAAACACTATTCCTCCCACTTTACGTGACCCGGGCTTACAAAAACGAAATGTCAGTCATGACTATGACAAGGAGCCTTGTCCTTTTGACAAATCAAATGTGAGCACAAACACCCCTTCCCCAGGTGGGATACCTCAAGGCTGGCACAGCTGTTGAACAGCTGGCTTAGGGTAAGGAGGACATCTACTGTTCATGTTAGGAAGTAAAATGCCCTGGTTTTGCTAAAATGTTCTCTAAATTGTATTTTATTTCTGCAATTTTTTCCTGTATTTTGAGTAACTAAAAGCAAAACAGTTACAATAAAGCTGTGCAAACCTGACCTCCTCAAACACAGTGTGGGTAGCTTGGCCAGACTTCTTCCATCCGTTAGTCTGAAATACAAGACACAGCTCCTTCTTTCTAAGTGAATTCGACTTTCACATTTCTTCAGCTGAATCAGGTTTGGTTGCATTTTTTGTAAGAGTAGAAATATTCACACCTAGCATGTGCTGTTTTAGACATTTACAAAAGAAAAGCCAAGCCTTCCTCTTTGGAATGAAGGGATTTTTTGATGGGAGCTAGGTTCTCTTACTCTTCAGTCAATCGGTCAGATATATCCAGTCAGTTACGGTTATAAAAATTCAGATTTGGGAGCTATTCAATGGAAAGGGCACTGGTTGTCTCTGGTCCTGTAGAGAGTGTGCTCTCCTCACTGGTTTGGGCTGACTTTAAGTCTTTGCCACTGGGCCAAACTGAAACAGCATCTGTCTGGTCTCCTCCTGAGCTGTATGATGATGCCCATGCAAAACCCACTGACCCCTATCCTATGTCTAGACTATTCTTAGCAGGTGCAATTGCACTACATGTAAGCCTTCCTAATTAATGAATATTACATGATAATCACTGCTGAAATAATTTTTGTCTTGGACAAAATACCATGAATCCAGCAACACGAATTTCTGTGTGGCCTGTGAACAACCTGTCAGAGATCTGGATGAGATGGCAGTATATGGGGGTTTTGTGTGTTTTTTTTTGTTTTGTTCTGTTTTGTTTTGTTTTGTTTTGTTTTTTCCCCCAGCTTCTCCGTATGCACAGTGGCCAACTGCCTGGGCTTTCTGCAAGTCCAGCAGTTGGACCTCTGTTGGGGATGATACATGAAAGAGTCCCAGGGATGGAGTTTTGTGAGTCATATATAATTCTCACTGTGCAAGTGTGCTTTGTAGATAAAAAGAGAAATTTTTAGGATCCCGTACTACCTTTGCAGCTATTTTCACAAGCAAACATTCACATACAAATAAATGAATTGTATCTTTCAGTGAGACATGCAGCTGGAATGAAGAAAATAACTTTTTTTTTGGTGTAGATTGATAAAGTCTTTGTTCTGGCTTAAATAAGTTGTCCTGTGTGTAGTGAGATTGTGTTCTGAAGATGAAGCACAGGAAACCAGCAGTATGTCTTCTGGCAATGTCATCTTACTGGGCTGCATTAAGTTTAGCAGAGCAAAATGAAGAAAGACAAACCAATATGTACATTTCTGATGGTACACAGAGAGCTTGGGGGAGAGGGAGATTTATGAGTTGCTTAGCTCTTGCTATTTATTAGCAGGAACTGGACATGTAACTCTCTTTGCATTTTGGCAGTCTTCCTTTTTAATATTCACTATAGGAGTGTCTGGAGTTAGGCAGCACACATTCTTCTTCCTTAATGGGCTGAATCCTCTATTTAGTGAAGTTAAGGACAAAACTCTTACTAATATGAAAGGTGTCCACTTTAACAGAGCACTTACTTGTGTGCATAATGCTCAGAATGAATACTGAGTACTGGTGTATGTTCTAATATCCCACTGATATCAGCAAGACAACCTACATGCTATTAGTCAGGCATATTTCAGTTCTTTGCAGAATCAGGCCATAAGTCCAAAGGAGACCATTAAAAGATTGATGAAAGGCATCAGTACTAGCAGTCCTTGTGCAAGGAATTCTCTTAAAAAGCCAGTAGGCTTTTTCATTAAATTAATTCCAAACTCTGGAAATCCCTGAAGATAAGCTATCGCACCATTATTTCACCAAACTAGATTTACAGTAAAGAAATGTCACTTTGTAGAGGAAAATACAAGCGCCTGTCAAAACATTGAAATGAACAATATCCTTCCCTTAGTTTTAATCATGTTGTTGTAAAATGAAATTGTGAATATTATGCTACGTGTCTTTTAGTTATCTTGAGAGGTGTTGCTCAGTTGCAGTAGTGACCTTCTCACCTTGTACTTTCTTTAAATTACAGATTAAACAAACCAGAAGTTAGAGTTGTTCTTGGAGCCCATGAAGCATCCATAGCTGAAAAAGAACAGCAGATATTTAAGGTTATGCACTACTTTCCTCATCCTCAGTTTAGCTGGTCTTCCAAGGAAAATGATATAATGCTCCTCAAGGTATTGTGTTACTGCTGTATTATTATAAAAGGAATTTTGCTGATGATCGTTTTGGTTATTCTTTGATATAGAAGAGTACATTGTTTAGATAGCTTAACAATATCACAGAACACCCTGCTTTTGGTTGTACTAATCTAGATAAGGTTACAGGATCACTGGCACTGTGAGCAGGGATGACATTTCAAGCCTATTCTGTGCTCTAAAACTCCCTTTAACCCACTCACTGCATGAACCCCTCCAAAACCCCAAAACACATTCTTTAGTAGTTTTTCAAAGGCAGTGCTGAAGTGATGTGTGCAATGGAGTCTGGGTATCCCTTTATCCCAAAGGGATACCTTGTGCTGGACTAAGTAAAAATGGGGATGAAATTTACAGTTAATTATTTGAGGTAACCACATAAAGTAAAAGTATGGATAATACAGGACACAGATGAGTTCAACTCTAGGAGCACAGAGTGGTCGTGTAGTGAAGAATGCTCAGTATACTGCAGGATGGAGCATGGAAAGATGTCCTCACCATCATCATCATCCTGGATACCAAAGTGGGGCAGGGCTGTAAGAATTTTCTGCATACCAGCTGCTGCTCAGCCTGGCTTATTTCTCACGTGTCCCTGCACTGAGAACTCTGTTAATCCAGCACTGAGATTGACATGGAGGTAGACCTGGGTGTTTTGAATAGGGAGAGGGCAGTCTCTATGTGGGAAACCTGTAGATGGTCAAATTGTTCTGGAGGACTGCCTTCCTGGTACCAGCAGTTTCAGTGCTGATCCAGAGTCCCTGAGAAAGATAAGATGTGTGCATCATCTTGCCTATACCTTTAGAAACATCCTGACCTCAGTACAACGGCTAAGAAATCTTGGATGGATCTTTATTCAGGCTATACTGTAATGTTACACCTGTGATAATGAAGAAATAGTTTTATGTAAAAGATCAATATGCATATTTAAAATAATTGACTAGGTAAAGTGTATTATGAATATAACCACACTTCTGAAATAATTGGTGGAATTATATGGAAAAGGAAGTGATTACTTGAATCTGATTTCTAATATTTAGATGGTATCACCAGTTTGATATGACAATGACACAGGGAGAAAACTAACAGTGTCCCTTTCTGGAACTAGCTGGAGCATTTAGAGACAGCTGTGCCTCCAGCAACTTATCACTGCCCAAGTGTGAGAAGCTCCTTCCCCCAGATGTTAGTGAGCATTCTCCATCTGCTTCATTGCAAAGGTAGACATGTTCATTTCACTGGCTTCTCCTGTGGCCACCAGCAACTCCTCAGGAGCACCAGGTTGTTTGTGAACACAATACCAAAATGCATCACTAGGAAGTAGTATTTCTAGAGTTGAAACTTACAACTCTGTTCTAGAATGACATGGATACCGTAAAATCCTTTGTCTGAGTTTGACACAGGAGCAGGGATAGATAGCGTGAGTACCAGGGCTTACCTCCCATCTCTGCAGTTCTGCTGTAATGGAGTACTAAGTGACTTGTGATAAACTTTCCATCTTTGGAAACTACCACCAGTGCTGGTGATAATAAACCATAAAGATTTTTTTGATAAACTTGTGATTTGTTGGAGTGCCTTTTCTAAAAGGTATAAAGCCAGAATCATTTAACTGACAACCATTCAGCAACATGTAGAGCCACCTGTGAAATGAGTCATGGTGCGGTGATCATGTGTAAAACCGAAAATGTCCGTTCAGTAGCTGTCTGCCCTTACCAAGCACATTGAGGATATGTGTTAGTGTTTGGCTATGTTTTCATTTACAGGCTTAAATTGGTCTCTGCTGAAGGATGAATCTGTCAGGTAAAGGCTAACAAAACACAGACAGTTTGGATCATTTAAGCCATTTTGAATCTCTCAGAGCAAAAACTTGGCAGTCTGAAGAGTTCAAGACCTCATTTTTCCCCGATTCTGTCACTGCTGTCATGTCTAATTGGTTATATATATATTTTTTTTTCTCATCTTTGTTACTGAGTACATTGCACCTTGCTTTGAGACTTTTCTGTGTGTCAGTGTGGTGGTACAGCCCCCTCCTTCCCGCCCTCCCCGGGCCACTCTGAGATTTCAGGATAAGCCTTGCATGCTCCCATTGTGCTGTTATCTTGGGCTGAGGCATCAGGTTCTCCTTGTCCACACCTGGGCCATCACTCTGAGATCTCAGGATAAGTCTCCATTTTGCTCTTATCTTGCCTAGCCTGGGGCTGAGGTGTCAGGCCCTCCCTGGCCACACCTGGGTCATCTTCGGCCTGAATGGTATACGGGAATGACAGCAGCAGTTCTGGCCAGAATGGAAAATACTGACAAAAGTCAATCATCTCGAGACCCTATAAATAGCGATCCAAAGTGAGATCCTTTGAGCTATCCGGGACCGCAGCAGGCTATGTGACCCAGTATCTCCCTCTGAATTGGGGCGCCTATCAGGGTAGATTCTACAGGAACTGGCAGATTATCCGTTGGTAATTTTGCGAGGACTGATTTCGCACAGTTCACTGACTGTCCATTGATGAATGCTGGCATATAAAGCTTGACAGTCAGTCTAGCACCAGAGTCTGATTTCAACACAGAAGTTCAGTGGCAAGTTAGGTTCTTGAATAGGACATAGATCCAACAGCTAACTCCTGTGCAGGTTTTTGATTTCCTACTGTAATCAACAGGAAGCTGGGCTTGAACTCGCTACTGCTGCCATATATAGGGAATTGCTATACAGACACCAGGGAAATTCTTTTGGATTTGCAAAGGGACAATTAAGATCAGGATCAGTTCCTAAATATTTAAAAGTAATTTATAAGGAAAGTATTGGTAAAGTGAGACTAAATGCCAATTGAAACTAGATTGTACCTTCCTTCCTTTCTGCAAAAGAAAGCGGTTTTTTTCTTCTTCTTCTTCTTCTTTTTTTTTTTTTTTTTTTTTTTTTCCCCAGCTGAATGGTATTGCAAAGCTGAATAAATATGTGCAACTTTTGCCTCTGCCTCACTCTTGTGAAGATATCAAGCCTGGCACAACATGCAAAGTAGCCGGCTGGGGGATCACATCTTCAGGAAAGCCATCAAAATATCTTCAGGAAACAACTCTTGAAATTGTCAGCAGAAAAAGCTGTGGGATCAAATATGGAAATCACCCAAAAATAACCAGCAACATGTTGTGTGCTGCAGGGGCAAAAAAATATTTGAGAGATGCTTGCCGGGTAAGAAGCAAAGTTACAAAGAGGAAGGGATGTGCTTTTAGCAATGGCTCCCTTTTCACTGAAAACAAAGCAGTGCTAGACACGTAATGAGGCTGATCAGATTCGCAGTGATTTTAACCACATTTGTAAGAGATGTTATTGCTGTGAAAAAGAAGCGTTAAAACTTTGAGTAGTTTAAGTCAATGTACACAAGAACAAGAGTATGGGAATTTGAGTCTGGGATTATCTCAGTTAAATTCAGGTGCATTTCCTTACCTGAGGTGCTCTCCTTAGGCACCGCATCTAGTTATCGTCAAAAATGAAGAACTTTCAGGATCTGAATCATCTGATCCTTTCCAGATTCAACATCTGAATAGTACAGAATTAACTGTACACTCAAAAGTGCTGTTTGAATCTTGCTTTTGGTGTCTTCTGTGTGGAGTCCAGAAGGGCCAATTGCTAAAGAACTGAGAGTCAATTTATACCAACAATATAGTAATATTAAAAAAAACCCTTTTGAAATAGAATTATGATAGCACTGTGCTGGTCTACAACATTTACATCAAAGGCTCCTTCAGGCTTGAAAAGCAACCTCTCCTTATACCTTACCCAAGTCCCATGAAGTCACATAAGCCAACATCCATTTCATAGGTTGGAACAGGTTAGAAGCATTTCCAGGCATGCCTATGCACTGCAGGTGGCACCGCATGCTCCTCTGAAAGCAACAAACACACACTAATAGCTAACTTCTATTTTGTGTTCTAGGGAGATTCAGGTGGCCCGTTAATCTGTGATGGTCGATACAGTGGGATTGTTTCTTTTGGAAAAGGATGTGGAGAAAGAGACACGCCTGGAGTTTATACACGACTGACTGAAAAATATATTGACTGGATAAAAAAAATAATTTCCCTTCATAGACGTCCATAAGACAGGCAAGACAGTTTTAATAAATACTGTGCTGTGCATTAGAACTAGATGCTTCTGCTTTAGTGTGCCATGTTTAAAAAGTACCTCCCAGCTTTACAGCTTTACTAACACCACCACAGCTTTACGAGAACAGCTCAAAATATTCTCCTTCCTACAGCTAACATGTTTGCTCATCTTTAGAAGGAAACTGCCTCTTAGATAACACAATTTGTATTGCGACTTCACCCTGCTTCTTAGTGTGACGAGAAAGTACTGCTCACCTTATTCATTGTGCCTGAGATGAGGCAACGTTTTTGAATGTGTACTTACAGAAAAATTCAGTTTCAGACTGCTAGTGAATGAGACGTCTGCTGAATGAAAAAAAAAAAGAACAAAAGCTTTAAATGTTCAAATATTTTGCTGTGACATTATTTAAAGCCAAATACTTCAATTCTCCATTACTAAATACTTATTTAACTAAATTAATTGTCAAAGAGTTAAGGTATTAAACAGATAAAATTTTTTCCAATTATTCTTCCATTTTGAAAGAGAAAAAAAAAATTCTCTTTTTTTTTCTAGATTACTTTCCCTAATTTTTATTTTACTTTTTTTTGGGTGATCAAATCAATAAAATCATGTCTTTTCATAGCTTGGTTCATGATCTCACCCTTTCAGTGAATGGTCTGTTGAAAAAAGTATAAACACTGATTGTAATGGGAGTAATTATACTTCTGTAACACAGTGCCTATCTAACATCTGTCAAAACAAACAGAAATTTTGCTATGGATTTCAACAGACTTCTACTAACAGAAGGACCTGCTGCGTTTCTGAAGAAGCCTGTGGTTAGCTTGGTGTATTCCCACTATCTTTCAAATATTCTCTAGGTCTTTTTTTGCCAACAGTTTGGAAGGGGCCATCTGCAGGGTTTCTTTGCTTCTTTGGTTATTGGATTAATATGTACCGAATACTGTAAACTTTGTGACGCTGCAGACGCATAAATAAATAACTCCAACATGTCAACATACTGGCCTTGTTTATTGACCAACAGCCATACCACTACGCTGAGCAGAGCAAGACCTGTCTCATAAAGGTTATGCAGATAAAGCAGCAAACGGACACCACAAAGCTGGGTTGGTAAGTGGCCATGGTGTAATAAAACCACCAATGAGGCGAATGGGGGCTTGATCCAATTCTCACTAAAGGTCATGGGAAGGAAGATCTTAAAAGATGCCCGTGACAATTGGCTCAGGACTGGAATACGGACAGAAAATGGGAAAAATTGGGGGGAAAAAAAAGGGGAGGCGATAGAAAAGTGGAAATAATAATATACCACTTTTAGCACTTTTCAGCTGGGGGTGTCAGAGCATGTTGCAAACACAAATTAGTCCTTTTTGCCTTTGTAAGGTAAATAACAGCAAGGATATCCTTCTTCCCATCCCATTTTCACACCCTGCAGCCCAATAACAACTGATCAGTGTTTAACCTCTCAAAGGCAAAGATTTCATTCACTCTGTTCATGTGAATGGTGACTGAATCTTAGTCATTGATGGGAAATAATGAGTGATGAAGTCTGGAAACCATAACCCAGCAGGTTAATTCCAGTTCAGATATTGGACTTCGTGTGTGTGATCTCCTGTAATGACTTTACTTCATTTACAGCATCTTTTTCTCTTTTATGGGTGATGTAGCAGTTGGAAGGGTGTTACTGCCAGGCTCCCAGGGCACCACCAGGCCTGGCTGCCCTGGCCCAGCCCCTGGGGCTCCCCATCCATCTGCCCATCGCCCAGCACCCATGTCAGCCCCAGGGTCATCAGCCCCAGCCCCAACAACATTGCAGCAGGGCCGGTCTCCAGCTTCCCTCAGCCTGGCCCTGCCCTGCCATGGGTCCTGCTGAGCTGGGCCTACTCACAGGCCAACAACATTCCAGCCTGGCCTTGGCCTGTCTCCAGGGAGGTGCAGAAGCAGTGAGCCAAGCAGTAACCTTGACTCAATTTCTGTCCACTCTGAGGCTAGCAGAGTCCTTATTTCCTCCAAATGCAACAGGAGGGAAGTCTTTGCTAGCGTTGAAATCTCTGTGTCTTGAAAGAGTGCCTGCCCATCCGCCCCTCTGGGTGAGGGGCAGTCTGGGCCAGGGAGCACGTCAGGAGTTTTGCAGTGGGGCTGCAAAATGTCCTGCAATTATGCATTTTATTAGCACCTGTGAAAGCACGTGGTGGAAGTGTCACCAAAATCGGGAATAAACCTCTTAACACCAATGCAGTATTAAGAAGCAGGCATTCTCTTTATTGCAGCACTGGATGCACGGGGGATTGCTTCGCCTAACGTGCATACCCAACTGTTGCAGTGGAAAAATTATATAGATACAATTGATTAAATATTCATTGTAATTCCTGGAATCAGGACGTATATTCATTACTTTTCCCTGAAATCATTTACATATGGTGTCTCCCCTTCGGGCATGCACAGTTAATCAGGGGAAGGGTCTTCTGGGGTCTTTTAGGATGCCCGGTGGTCGTCCTCTGGTGTCCACTGGATGACCTCCTTGTCTTGAATTTGTGCAGTTCAGTCTTGTAGATGTGGTAAGAGGAGTTTGAAGATTGTTGGGTACTTTTCAACATATCAGTGATTTTTTTATAGGTCTTGTGGATACACTCTTTGTCCTCTAAACAATTTGTCCAATTAATTTCTCTTTAATAAGTACCTACCTATAATGTCAGCGATCAGTTAATTTCTCTTACAATGTCAGTGATCAATAAGTTTCTCTGTTCTTCAAACAATTTGTTATTTGTTCAATTAGTTTCTCCTTAACAAGTAACTTTCTACAATGTCGGTAACAGAAGGATGACAACTGGGGTTTAGTCTGGAGAAGAGGAGGCTGAGGGGAGACCTTATCACCCTCTACAACTACCTGAAAGGAGGTTGTAGCGAGGCGGGGGTTGGTCTCTTCTCCCCGGTAATTAGCGATAGGACGAGAGGAAAAGGTCTCAAGTTGCACCAGGGGAGGTTCAGGCTGGACATTAGAAAGAACTTCTTCACTGTTAGAGTCGTTAAACATTGGAATGGGCTCCCCAGGGAGGTGGTGGAGACATCATCCCTGGAGGTGTTAAAAAAATGTTTAGATGTGGCACTTTGATACATGGTTTAGTGAGTTTAGCGGGCATGGTGGCGCTGGGTACACGGTTGGACTTGATGATCTTTGAGGTCTCTTCCAAGCATAATGATTCTATGATTCTATGATACATGCAAAGGCACAGATTAGATCCAATGTATAAACAATGGAGTTTCTCAGGGTTCATTCTTGTGTACATTTGTTTGTAAAAAGCAAGAAACTTTGCCCTATTAACACACTCTCACAAAACCTTTATTTTGATAAAATATCAAACCTCTCTGCAGCCACATAGAAAATTGAGATAAGCAATAATTAAAACAGTGACAACATCAGTAAATGAAAAAAAATGTTATTTTAATCACTCTTAATCACTGCTGTCATAAAAAAATCCTAGTCAAGAGTATTTAATTAACCATTACCATTTAAATGAATTAATGGTGCATGGTTGTTGGTTTAGGTTATCTTGAAACCATGCAGAGGATGTTACCTATCAGTATGTAGTGTCTGGGTTTCTTCAAACATCCCTATCTGAAGCTGTTACAACCAAAGCCGCATGACACATCTTTTCAGGTATCAGATAAAAGCAGATGCATGAAAAGAAGGGGGAGCTCTGGACTAGTGTCTTTGCAAAGCCCCTGACATTTTTAAATGGCAATGGACCACACTGACAGTGATGTGACTTTCGGTGACTAAAATGTGGGGCATGCACATCCCATGCCAAAAACCACAGTCCTGTCCTAGCACCTGTCTTAGCAGAGTTCAAGTAACAAATGGTCACATTGAGCACACAATTATTCTCTGAACTGAGACTTTGGGCATGCTGATGGAGCACTGTGGAGAAACTTGCACTGCTTCCTTTCACTGGGGATCATGAGAGGCCCCATCTTCCAAGGTGGTCGGGCCAGATCTCGTCAATGAAATCCTACTATGTACAACCCACATCATAATGAAAATAATAATGTGGAGGCAGCAACTATACTTGCAGCACTAAAGATCTCACACACAGAGAGATAGAAGATAAACTTGCTGATACTGCTGCATAGTTAACTTTCTTCCTGCAATATTTCAAAGGGATGGGTTCTAACTGCAAGTTTTCTTGGAGATGCCTCTACACTAAGACATGAGTTCGTGAGAACACGAGCATGCTGAAAAGTGCGATACAGGGGGGTATGGTGCTCATGATCCAAGGTACAGCAACTTCAGAAGTTATTACCTCTGTAGCCAGAGGGGAGCAATGTATGTGCTCCTCCTGGAGTGGAAACAGGTGGTTTGAATTAACTTGCTGCCCTGTGAATTAGTTTGTGGAGTTGTGAAATGAGACTCTGCTGCAGCAGCAATCAGCCAGGCAGCATGACAGTGAGATTTGACAGGGACTGCACATGACAGCCTTGAATTTTTGAACAAAGTCAGTTTGTGTATTTTGTTTTATGAACAATGGTGTTGATCTTATCGAGTGGTCTCGGCCTCATTATGCAGAAATATTGAGAGCAGCTGCATGAGGTAAGAACACAGCTGGTGATAAGATAACATAAGAAGTAGACTCAGTTCTAATGGGATATTTAAGGTGTTCCTCGTCCAGGCCTCTTTTCCTTCACTTGTTTGTCCTGCACTCAGTTACCGAAGTCAGGGTCCTAGTAGATGGTTACCAGTTTTGTTATTCACATTTGGGACAGTGGTTTTCAGAAGGTTTTGTTATTCCACCAGCTGTGTTGGGTTGGGTTTTTCCCCTCTTATGGTGCTTGTTTCCAGCTTAGCCATCCTCAGCAATATTCATCTGCCTAGCCAAACACTGCTGGTGATTCTGTGTGGGTTGCAATGGGTACAGCCAGTGATTTGTTAAGTCCTGTTTCAGGCACTTATCTTAGGCAATAGACAAAAAAATCCTTTCCCTGTATGTTGGTTGTAGAAAACA